AAGTCCTTAGCGAATGATGGATAGAAGGTGTTATCCAGACATCCAAGGTTGTGGAGACAAAAGAAAACTATCTACCCGAATTGGACAAAGCCAAAATGGAATTTTAGCAAGGCTAGTGATAGGCATATAAAAGCCCATAAGATATGTGGGATTATAAGTTGAGCATACTCGGATTAAGGAACCACTCCCTAGGCTATCGGGTAGGTTCATCCCTAAAAATACTTGCTACAGCATAGTAGAAAGTGCAAAGCTATCCTCCTAAATCTGGAGGAGAATAATTGAAGGAAAGGTGTGAGGCCAAAGGCAAGTAGTAAAGGGATAGAATCAAACCATAAGCATTGAATTGCATAACCAAGGGTGGTTATACCAGTTAGGAATGGAGAATCAAGTGGGTGCTCAAGCATGTTGTTACTAGCAACCGTGATGCCATGGAGAGTCTAAAGTATGGAATTGTCCATATTAGACCATATAGCAATTTAAAAGCTTGCGAAAGGAAAGGCCTTAGCAAGTTAAGGGATATAGTTCCTTCAAAGGTTCCCAAATACAATTCTAGGTAACTTAGTACCTAGAAAACTAAGTGCAAATGGTTCATAGAGCGTGCGAAATCAGAGTGGCACAGCAAAAGCGTGGTCTTGAAGCTTGCCAAGAGGCGAGGCTATCAAGGTTAGGGAAGTAGTTCCCGAGTGTTCAAAGAGAGGGCTTTGAACGAAAGTCGATAGTTAAGGACTTTCATGCTTATGCATGAACCATGTTACGGTGGTCGAATGACTTGTTAAGTGAGATTGGCAAGTCGGGGGAACAAATACCCTAGTTGAAGGAGCCAACTTCAAAGGGGTGGCCCGTGGGGCTAAGCATGAAGGAGTCCATGCATGATCACAGCTTGTCAAGTGAGAGGACTTGGCAGTGCAAAAGAACTAGATTCCTAAGTTGTGATTTGTAATGCGCTTTAACTATAAGTTGGTGCACCGGCGTGGGGAGTCACACCAGGCATTTTGGATGATGCCTTCTGTAGATGCATATACAAAGCTTAGGTTCAAGTCCCAACCCTTTAGTGCTTGGGTTTGAGTCCCAACTCACTAGAGTGCGGTGATGGTTTAAAATATGGGCAAAGTTGTGGAGCTGCCGGCACTGAAGAAGCTCTATCGAGTGGTAATAGAGCTCAGGAGTGGAGGGCAAGGCACGGTAAACCACCACAAGTGGTCCAATCAATCTCTAAGTTGGAGAGACTATACTCCTTAGAGGATGGGCAAGGCATGGTGAGCCTTCGGTATTAAACCATTGACGAATATTGGTAAGGTGCCAAGAATGGAAAGGGTAATACATGTTGGTATTACTTTATAAAATAGTTTATTGTTTGATGAGGACATTGAACTTCGTCTATGGGTGGTGGAGTTGTGAGACACAAAATCCCTAAGCCCCAAAGTGAAGCTGGAAGTCCGAGTCCGAAACTGGGACCGAGTCCAAGTCCAAGTCTGAATACTAATATAGGTTGTTGGGTGAAAGCCCAAAGCAATCGTCCCCCAAGGGGGGGGGGGGGCGCTACGGGGGGTTCCAAAAGTATAGTAGGGAGAGTGTGGGGGTTGGAGCCTAGTGGAGCCAATTTGGCCAAGAAAGGCCAATTTGGCCCAGGAAGGCCATACCCAGTGTTGGGTGATGAGCTGACCACTGGGAAGTCCAAGACTAAAGTGAATATGGATCGACAAACGGGGTAGCTTAGTGATGTGTTCAAGAGCCGGCTCTAGTTCCCTCAGGAGATCGAATGGTCGATGCTCCCAGTCCAAATGTGGGTGGCATTACCTACTTGGATACCTGGCGTGGCTCACAAAACCTCGCTTTAAGCCTGTGGCTAGAGCACCCAAAGGCGGAAGGCAGGGAGAGTACCCATGAGGCCCGCGTAGGGCCACGGTGTTCCGAAATGTTGTCCCAAAGGCCCAGACTATGGAAAGGAAGAAGAGTAGTCCTCTAGTGTAGTGACCAAGGATACAGTCGTGTGGTGAAGAAGTCCCAAAGGACCGTGAGACTTAGTGGTCGGGCCTGTGAGCCTCGATCCAATGGCAATGTTGGCGAACACGGCCATGGGCAGAAAGGGACTTGGTAAGGACCGGAAAAGGGATATTGGGGAAGGCTATTCCCCAGATTTGCAGGCATTTTAAGGATGCTAAGGAGTGGATCTGGGATGATCACTCATGGACGGATGGCCCAGTCTTTAAGAGACGAGACTGTGATGTAGGTGGTGTTAGACCACCGGTATGACCAAAGCAAATGGGCATGGCCTTAACATAACGAGCTAATATGTCGGTGGTACCTTGGGGTGTTGGTCATGGGATCGGACATGTGAAGCACTTAGACCAAGTGCAATGGTTGAGTGGCATGGATGCCATTCTTGGGGCTAGTAAGTCCCTAAGTCCAAAATAGGACTTACAAAGGTTGTGAGTGAGACTCCTCCAAATGGTCAGAGGTGTGGTTAAGTGACTAAAGTAGAATGGAAAATTTAGTCACTTACACAGACCTTCCACTGCAATAGCACCAATGGGACGTTGCTGATGCCAAGGTCTCCACCTAGGAAATGGAGGTCGTCAATTTGGAAAACACCAACAACATTGATAAGTATGACCAACTTCATCACACACCCAGCAGTGAACATCACAGCCATGACCACTTCCTCGCCCTTGTCCTTGGACTCGAACAGCAGCAGCATCAACCTCCATTAGAACAGAACCATCACCCATAGGAAGTAGAGCTGAAGGACTTGCAGTGAAAAGTGGAAGAGGTGACATCTCATAACGTTGTGCCAAGCGAAGAGCATCATCAAGGGTGGTGGGAGCAAGTGCATGCACACAAGTCCAACAAGATCTTGATGAAGTGCTAGCCTCAACATTCCTAGCTTGATCCGCTCTGACATATTTAGCTCTGCACGAAGCAAAAGACTTCGAAAACAAACGCCAAATTGCATCACTGACTCAGATAGCCCTTGGCGAAGACAATGTAATTGTTGGAAGGCATCATCACAGTCATCAGCATGTCCGAAGACACGTTTGAAGATGTATGGGAGAACACTCCAATCCCCATAAGTGGCTACGCTCAAACCATTGTACCACTGCAACACCATCCCTTGGAGACATGTGGGAAAGTCATGCAAACATCGAGCATCATGCCAAGAATGATATATGGCAATCACTGTGAAGTGATTGAACCAATGGTACACATCATCCTCAGGATTCCCACGAAAGAACTCTGGCCAAATGCAAGGATTGGCACCAAGAGCAAGAGGAGTTGTACCACATGTTGTGAACGCCGCCATCAACTGAGTTTGGTTGTTCAATTGCAAGCGCATAGCATCAAGCAATTGTACCAACTGTTGCTCCAAAGTCAAAGGAGGAGATTGCTAATTTGCCATGAAGATGAACAAAAAAGAAAGAGCAAAAGAAAAGAAATGACAAAAAGCTAGAAGGAAATGGTAGATCTAGACAATGCAAAAAGCTAAATCTAAACCAAAATCCTAAAAGGAAAGAACAAAAGAAAGGAAATGGAAAAAACTAAATCTAGACAATGCAAAATCTATATCTAAATCAAAATCCCAAATTTAAACACTCCTTAGGGACAATAAAAGATGCCCTTCACCTCCACTAATGTGAGTGCTTGGAATATGGAAAGGGAATACAGAAAACATGCCTCTTAATTAGCCCAAATACCCTAGTTTATATACAAAAGCAAGTGGTCCAGATTAAAACCAATCCAACAGTTACCAAAATCCCATAGTATACGGCATCGTAACCATACACTTGGCGACCTCACATACATAATTTATTATTTAATATTTATATTATTTACATGTGTTATTAGTGTATTAAATGGAAAAAATCATTAACTAATAGTGGCATTCCATTATTGAGCACTATAATGTAAATATGTGTGTCTTTTTTATGCTTTTATTCAATAGAATATTAGTGTATATTTAGAATATAAGTCTTAATGAGAGTAATTTTATTCACAAATGAGATTCCACCATTTGCCATATGTTGGCACATATAATATACCTTTTGTAATCTTTTTTACTCAAGCTATATAACAATTGTATTACACTCAAGTGTTAAAGGACCATCTTCATTCTCAATACCAACTTTTTCAAATAATGTATAAGTTTAATTTTTATATGATTTTTGGCTAAAAGAGATTTTTAGTTTGTTACATGAGCAACCGTGAATTGCTTGATGTATACAATTACTTTCACTTTTAAAAAAGGAAATTTAATTGAAACTAAACTTCCAAAGTTTTAATGTAAGAGCATATGTATTTATTCTTTGTGTTTATCTTACTCTATTGAATATCCAAAATGCATTCTTGGATGCATCTTGGATGTTTATGCAAGCTTTTTAATAATGTAATGGATGTTTATGAGGTTTTGGTTTGCTTAATCAAACCTATAGTGGATATATCTAGAATGTACTTGGATATTCTAGAATGGTTTATTATCTAACAATTAGATTAATCTTATATTTATAATTTATAAACATGTTTATAATTTAAATTTTCATTAATAAATAAGAATAACACTACTATTAAGCAAAACACATAGCAAATTTTGTAAAATGTGTAAATACTTGAATATTCAACAAGATGTTGGTAACTGACCTCAAATGTACAAAAATAAGAACTGAGTCTAAACCATTGAGATTGTTTGTCCAGAGCAAATTCAAGTAAGATATGATCACAAACAAATCACAACATAAGGTCGTACGCCACTTCATTGGTAGTAGACCACATCACTCTCTTAATCCATTGGTGTCTCTTCTAATTGCTTATAAGCTTTGATATCTTTTAACACTGAAACTATTGTTAGAGCCTGGAGAAGTCTTAGAAGCATTTTGAGATTGAAGACATTTATTTACTGTCATTGACTATATCAACTTTCATGGTTGCATTCAAATTTTAAACTATCCTTTCCAAACTAAATTTAGAAGGTTTTCCAACTCCATGGTCCAAATTGAAATTAATCCATAAGAACGTTAAAAATAGCCACATTATCATTATGAAAGATCTCTTATTACACAGTCAACAGGGTTGACCGCCACATGATCTATATTTGGGCTGTAGCCGGTTTCACTCGGAAACAAGAACGATCTTAGGCTCAGGGCCACAGCGACAAATAGGTGGGATCGATTTAGTGCATACGCTGCAAGCTTTTCCCTTTGGGCAGTCCCCGTCACTGCAGCAGCTACTGCCTACTCCGCAGTTCGGAGGAGCCTCTGTGCAAACGCACAAAGGCGGATTGCTGGGCATGCAAATGGTGCAGTATTTGCCCTTGGGACAGAATTTGCTGTTTGGGCAGCACAGCGACTCGGGCCTGCATTCAGACGGTAGGCGGGCTGCTCCATCGACAAAGAAAAACTCGCCTGGAACGTCAAGCACTTCAGCAGTGGCAGCAATGCAAAGGAGCAGCGCAATGAGAGGAGCAAACTTGATAGACTGAGCCATAGCGAAATAGAGAATGGTTTTGGAGAGGCTGGCGCACTTGGTAATATACTCGCAAAGATTCGAACAATTCAGATATGCCAGATCCCACGTTTCTCTTGCTGATTTCCAGACTGCTCTAACGAAAGCGAAACAAGTACCAAATAGCAAGAAAAAACCCAGCTGGCCAGAATTTACAGTACAAACGAAGACAATATCAGCATCCTAAGGGGACATTATATTCCTTGTAGATAAATAGTAGATCAGCCAGCGACGCAGCAGTCTTTATCGGCTACAAACCACGTCCAATCTCATCTAAACACGACAGCACGGAGTTTGTATATTGAACAGGTGCATCTAGCTTTGGTCTGACGTGATGCCAGGATTTGTCCTTGCGATCTGGGATGGGATCTTGAATGACGGTGATTTTCCTGAAGGAGTTGTAAGCTAGAGTGATCTTTTTACTTAGAAGAAAATCACCTTCATTTCACATCCCATCCCACATAAATCATGTCAAACCAAAAGCTGAATGGAAGGTAGCACCTGTTCAATATGCAAACTATATTGAAGCATCTTGCAAAAATCTGCTTCCCATTTTCCAGATCCGAATCTGGAAAATAGAAAGCAGATCTTTGCAAGATGTTAATAAGATTTTTTGATATTTTTGGGACATACGGTAGGCCATCTCAAAGCCCCGTGGTCGATTGCCAGAGAGAATTTGAGAGCTAGATTCTTCTCTCGAGAGGTGGCAAAGTGCGAAATGGTTACTGCTGCGGTTGAGGAAGCAGATGTGAGTAAGATTGGTAGATATCCAACACTGCTTTAGGTGGACTTGTTCAGACAAATAACTACAACACCATTTGGTGACGATAGAATTATTTTCTGAGTCTAGAGTTGTCTTCTGGTCGTAACATACAGCAGCAACAGGAATTTCGGTGTGCGGGAATGTTCGATCACGCTGTGGACGAACTTCTTGTAAGTTCTTACACGTTTTAATTTGTTCACTAGCTTCTGTCGTAACCAAAGAGTCGTCCGCTCTAGCCGCACTCCAAGCGCATTTTTTTTCTGGGGAAGAATCTCTTCAACATGACCACCTCTGGCTTTAGTGCCAAGGAGATTTTTCTTGGAATATGGCACAAGCCTGTGTGCCACCTTTTCTCAGAAGCAGACACCTCCCGGTTCCCATGGACCGTTGGACAGCACAAAATGCAATTTGTGCAAGGGAAGATCACAGCCTGCCTCGGTTTTCTACGAGCAAATTGTCATTCAGCTCTCACGGAATGATGGAGGTATGCAAAACATACATTTCTCTTTCGATTTACACTCGTGGTTTTACAGAACGGACTCCACCCTGTAGTCAACGTTGCTGCTGGTCCCAAAAATTCTTCCGGGGCACAGAGCTTGTCCGGAGGCGATACGAAAGCCAACCAGGCTCGTCACGCAGGTCTGGTTTCTACTCCTCGTTTTAGCAGTAGGAGCATTCCTGGCGGCCGTCAAGGCTCACAGGCACAGACAGGAACCCACGCAGTACATTGATCTCAACAGTTTGGGTTACACTCCACCCATGCTCTAGGCTTTGTGCTTTCGAGCTTCGGAGTTTGTACAGCACTCTCAGGTTGGAATCCGAAGTAAGTGTTGGCAAGCAGCACATAGCCGGATCCCAGCTGCTGATACGACTCGAGAACAACGCTCGCAGCTTGGGAACCGTGATAGGAATCGCTATAGCTCCGACAAGCTCCTAGAAAGCAGGTCCACTCCCACACTCCCGGAACGTAAGGCATGGTTTGGATGAGTTCCTTGGCACTGGACAAGTATCCTGCTCGGCTAAGCAAGTCTACCACGCAGCTGTAGTGCTGCTTTCCGGGCTGGAGGCCGAAATCCATCGCCATCGACACGAAACAACACCGTCCTCTGAAAGTTTCTCCGGCTTGGCTGCAAGCGACGAGATAGAGGATGAAGCAGATCTCGTCGGGTGACTCCACCATCGCCATCTTGTCGAAGGTCTCGAAAGTTTGGAAAGAGTGGCCGTTTTGGGCGTATGCCGCTTGCAAAGCGCTCCAGGAAGTGATGTGTTGCTCGAGCATCGTCTCAAACAGCCGTGTAGCTCGAATAATATGCCCGCGTCGGGCATAAACGGCCAGCATTGCGTTCCAGGACACATTGTCCCTTTGTGGCATGGAGTAGAATAGAAGCTCAGCATCGGGAATATACCCGTTTTGGGTATATGCTGCAAGGATAGAGTTCCAAAGGACCTGATCTTGTTGAGGGGCAGCATCAAACAGCATCTTTGCTTCAAAATGATACCCATGTTGGGAATATGCTGTTAGCATTGCGGTCATTGAAACAAGATTCCTTTGTGGCATTGTGTGGTAAATATGTCCTGCTTCCTCCAGATACCCTTTTCGGGCATATGCTGTCAAGAGCATATTCCAAGAGAACAAATCACATTGAGGCATTTGGCTAAAGATGACACACGTTTTGTTGTAGTCTTCACGTGCTACGTACGCTGCCAGGATAATATTCCACGTAATTACATTGCCAAGAGGCATACGTTCAAACAGGCTCCTTGCGGCATAGAAATTCCCGGTGTGAGAATATCCCGAGACCATAGCGTTCATGCAGACTAGATTCCACTGTGGCATCTCGCTAAAAGTTTTCTCCGCGGATTCCATGTCACCCTCTCGCGTATATACCGCCACCATTGCAGCCCACGAGAATAGATTCCTCTCCGGCATGCGATCAAACGTCTCCCGAGATTTTTGTACGTGTCCGGTTCGAGAATATACTGTTAGCATCGAGGTCCAAGATACCAAATCGTGCTCTGGCATCTCATCAAACACAAACTTGGCATCTTCCAGATGCCCGTTCTGGGCATATACCGCTAGCAGCGCGGTCCAGGACACAAGATCCCACAGCGGGGACTGGTCAAACAGCCTTTTCGCAGCGTCAACGTCGCCACCACGGGAGAGAGCACCCAGCATTGTGGTATATGCCACCAGATCCCACAGTGGCATCTCATGGAATATACTCAGGGCTTCTTGAAGGTTATCGCTGTGCGAGAAGGCAGCCAACATTGTGGTCCAGGAGATCATGTTTCTTTCGAGCATTTGATCAAAGAGCTCTCTGGCAGAGTGAAGATGCCCGTTTTGGGCAAGTGCTGATAGCATTGTGTTCCAAGAGACTGTGGTGTGGCTTGGCATGAGACTGTCAAAGATGATCTTGGCTTCGCAAAGGTGGCCATTGTAGGAGTAGGCTAAGATCATAAGGTGGAAGGAAAATATATCCCTTTGTGGCATTGTGTCAAAGATGTTCTTGGCTTGGCCTGGATTGCCGCATTTGCCATACATTTCAATGAGCTTGTTAAAGAGGAAAGTGTCATGAGAAGCAATCTTATGTCTCAACTCTGCATCGATCTTGGAAGCTATTGGAAGTGTCTTGCAATTTTGTATGGCTTTTATCCATGATTGCCGATCCATATTATTATCATTTTAATGTTTCATTCTAAATAGTGAAATGAGATTTTAATTTTCGTTTAATACTAAGATAATGAGATGTCGTTGTAGTATACTGGTAAGTATTTCCGCCTGTCACGCGGACGACCCGGGTTCGATCCCCGGCAACGGCGTTAGTTTTATTAAAAATAATCAGTTTTCAGTTTTTGGTAAAGCTATTTACATTGTTTAAGTTAAGATAATGTGATGTCGTTGTAGTATTTCCGCCTGTCACGCGGACGACCCGGGTTCGATCCCCGGCAACGGCGTCATTAGTTTATTTTTAATTTTGACATTATACCACATCAAAAATGGTTTAGAGTTAGGGTTCTGGCCTTGCAATGGCTGGGCGCCTCTTACGAGCGGCTCGGCGGATCCAAGTGCGCGCTCCGGACGATCAGCTCGCGCATTTCGCTAGATGGAGCAGCAATCCCGCCGGCGCGAGGGAGATTTCTCTTTCCCCGGCATGCAATCAGAGCGTTGGCGACGATCAGTCTCTGAGCAGGAGAAGGCTGATTGAGCGGATGCTTTTCGACAAGCGCCGGCGCGACGAGGAGCGCAAGCTCAGGCTCAAGCTTTCCAAGCCAGTCGCTTCCTCTGGTAAATTTTTTTGAATTGGCTCTTGGAGCTTTATTTTGATCGATGATAGCAGGGGTTTACAATGCCGAGCAGCCTCCTCCCAGCGAACCTCTTGTTGGAGCTCTGGCGCCAGATTCTCCACAAGAAGTAAAGCTTTCTCTTTGGAAACTCTTATAACTCATGCTTTGCTTCTTCTTTCCCTTCCTTTTAACAGCACAGGCTTGTTCCTGTGTTAGCGAGGCCCGATTTGATGGTCACCAGGAACATAGAGTGGGCCAACGTTGCCTTCGGTCTGGAGCAAGTAATTCCTTTGTAGCTCTTTCTCTTGGTTTTTCTTTATCTTCTCTTTTTTCCTTTGCAGCAAAACAGATACGTTATCATGGATCCTCGCCAGCCGCAAGCAGTAAGTAGTTTCTCTAGTGTATGGCATTGTTTTGGACTGAGTGTTTGGGTAGGCTGTTGGATATCTTCTTGAAGAGAGCAGCTTTATCATGCGCCAGGTAAAGCTTTAGAACGAGTTCCCAGTTATCGCTTATTGATTAATTGCAGCTATGTCGCAGTTACTGCGAACGAGGAGGCCTTTCATCGCCAATGTTCTAGATGCCTACGGCAACCAGGTTTTCCAGGTTACAAATCTTACCATTTCTTTTCTTTCTTCTACTCTTGTGACGCTTTCTGTCAGGTTCGACGACCAGCCTGGTTGATCAACAGCACAATCTTTGTGGAAGTTGATGGCATTGTACTGCACTAAACTCTTTCTACTCGAGATGTTTTAACACGACTTTCGCAGCTTGTTGGTGAGGTTCACAGGAGATGGCATGTCTGGAGACGAATCTATGATCTCTATCTCGGGTAAGCACCACGGAAACTCGAAATTCCTGGAGTCACTTGACAGTGCGACACGAATGCAGGAAGACGCAGTTTGGACGTGTTGAGAATCCGGGCTTTTGGAACTGGACTTTCACTGTGTGTGACGAGAATGGCGACACTCTGGCCGTCGTGGACCGCAACTGGAGAGGATTTGGCTACGAGGTATGGTGTGATAATTCCAGGCCAGCGAGTATCTCACTGCTTGGAATGCAGTTCTTCACAGATGCTGGGCAATATGTCGTGAGATTTGGCGAAGTCCTCGCTGATGGTACAAACAGAGCTGGAGTTGCTGGCCAGTACGTTTTGCAGGGCGGCGAGCAAGCTCAAAACGTTGATCCACAGGTGGATATCTTTGCGTTTTCCTCTTGCGAGCTCGCGAGATTTTTCTTTTTCCAGGTGGAGCCTCTTTCGGTTTCTCGCTCTTTGACACTGACCGAGAGAGCGATTGTTCTAGCTCTTGCCGTCTCTCTCGACAACGATTACTTCTCGAGACACAGCGGGTGAGTGTCGATGCTCTTGCTTTTTGTGCCTGGTTTGAAACTTACAAACTCTAATGTTCTCGCCAGGATGGGAATGCCAATTCCCATTATCGGAGGAAGCCCAGAACCTTGAGCTCTATTCTTCTGTCGGTGTAAAGGAACAATCGCAAGCTTTTGCTCTAAACTCAAACGAGAAGTTTTGTTGATTCGAATATGCTTAGATTCGCTGACCGTTAGGAATATACAGGATTCCCTTCACGGAGCCCTAAAATACCAAGAATATACTTTGCTTAAAGACAACTTTTCTTCCTTCTCTCAGGGCCTGTGGTGGCACAGTTGACACGAACGCACGCTGGATGGATTAGCGAAGGTGCAGCGCTCGCACGACCACACACCGCTCTCGTCAATGGCGCTCCGGCTCGAGCCCCCATTGTTCTTGGAGCTCCCGCCTTTCTTGCCGCTCTTCCGGGAGCTTCCCGACGCCTTGGAGCTGCTGCTGCTGTTCTTGTTGCTGTTGGCCGCCGCTTTCGAGTTGTCCACGTCCGATAGCCCCGTCTCCAGCGCGCGCATCAAGTTCTCAAAGTAAGTCCTCGTTACACTGCGCGCAGCCGCGGATCGTGAGCAAATGCCACTGCAAACTTTGCCTTACCTTGTGAGACCAGCCAGTTTGGTGCGAAACTCGTTGAACGGGACATCCGGAGGATCCTCGCCCAGGAAGACTTGCAAGTCCTTCTCTGCGCATTGGTGTAGGCGCTCAAGGCCGGCCTCCGCTTCACCTGATTTTTCCACTTTGGTATCAGCGATGCTCGAGAGAAAAGGCCATGTTGTATACCTTGCACGTACTCAAAAAACTGCCGCTTCGCATCCTCGTTTTCTGGAAGATAATAACCATACGCGTATGTCCATTTTAGAACCCGTCGGCACTCTACGATCTACACGGCAAAAGACTTATCAGAAAAGAACAACTATACAGGATAGAGCCTACCTGCATCCAAGCATCCGTCACAAACTTTAGCTGTGATACAGGCTGACACTGTCTGTCGCTTAATTTCTCCATCTGGAAAGCATCACACGATAAACATTAGGACTGAACAAACAAAACATAGCAACAAACATGTAAAGCTTGCATCTGTTGAAGATCAGAGAGCGCTTTTTGCCTGGATGACTCGTTTGTGGCCCATCTTTCGTAGTAGTGTGTATAACGTTCAAGCATGTTCTTAGCCATCTCTCTACGCCTTTCAGCTTCATCATACTGTAAGAAAATTTGTAAAGTTGAGGCAGTGAGAAGTACCTAGATACGTACCACTCCTTCCTGCTTAGCAGCTTCATACCGATTACAAGCATAAAATCCCCCTGTGCGCTCACCGTGTTCGGACCACGGTCCAAGACAAAGCCTACCACACATCAATCAGTCATCAGCGAGAAAAAGAAAACACCTACCAGCAAAACTCAAACTTGCACGGAGGCGTACACGTTATATGCATGCATCCTTGAGATTTTTCGATCGGTCTTTTACACTTTGGACAAGGTTTGGAATTGGCGAGAATCCTGATCAGCAAGAAAAGACGATGAATTCAGCCGTTACAACTAGGAAGCAACAGCATACCAATTCATGTTCTCGGATTCAGCGCAGTTTTTCAGTATCCACTTCGTCACAGTTTCGCAATCAACGGGCCGATGGGCATCCTCCAAACACTGCAGCTTCACAAAGTTAAAGCCAAAACATGAACAGCTTTCGCATACTTACGCTCCAGCAGAATGGATGACCGCACTTGCAGACAACGTCATGTGAACCACTACCTGGAAAATACTCCAGCGCAAAATCACATCCTGGAGCAGGACACCATTTTGCCTGGACAAGTTTGTCAGTTAAGCAATCCAGCTATAACAGAAAGCGACACCTTTCGGTTGTCTTCGACAAACGAGCGTAACAAATATCTATTGTACTTGACACGGTCTTCCTCGCAAACCAGCGACATAACAAGCTCATCTCCAACAGCAGCGTTACAAGATGGATCAGGACATCGAAGTGTCAGACATCCAGGGCCATCGGATATCGCAGTATGAACATATCCTGATCAGTAGAAGAAAAATGTGCGAATCAGTGAGCAAAGCCAAGCGTTTCAGCTACGTTTAGCAACCTGTCCAACATAAACTACAAAAGTAATGCCCGCAAACCGTTGCTCTCATCTTGTCAACCCCGAAAGCATCGAAGCAGATCCCGCAAACAATCTGGAAGTAGAGTCCACGTCAAGCATCGAAAAAACAAAGCAAACTTGCAAGGATCACCTCTTTGGGAGGTCTCCTCCCCGCGGATTTCTCCAGCAAACCAACTGTCTTGCGAACAGCTTGCTCATTGGCAAACCATTCATCATTTACAGTACTGATGCACCTGGGAAAGAGAAAAGAGCTCAAGCTCACCGACCACGATCAAAGAAAAAAAAGAGAGAGCGAGATTTCGCAACACGAACCACTTGAAGTGCCGCAAAAGAACACTAGCATCGCCCTTGGAAATCGATAACACGCCCGCTACGCTCTTCACAGCCTCCTCTTGCCTCTTGCTAATTTCGTCTTCACTCAGCACCACGAAATTATTCTGGAAAGCACAAGGCAGCCAAAATGTAAAGCGCGCGATTTCCCGAGCTATACCTGAGGCGCCCGAGTGGAAGGGGAAAGATCGTCCATGGAATTATCATCAAACGGGTAGACGGAGTCATCGTCCTCCTCGTCGCTGGGCATCGCGTCGCTGTACTCATCGCCATAGTAGTCGCCGTCGGAGGTGTAGGCGTCTTGCATGTCATCGTCTGAATCCATCCACCAGGAGATCCTACAGACCTAAATTCCAGAGATTTTCGAGCTGCGCAGCTACTCACGGCCGCAGCCGAGTCGCAGATCCGATGCCGCCGCTACTCCAGCTCTTGCATTCTCCCCCAAGCTCAATCGTCGAGAAACCCTGATGCCCTGCCACTCGAAGCATATTCCCGTTTTGGTGTAGAGAGAGAGAGAGAGAGAGAGAGAGAGAGAGAGAGAGAGCGCTAGGGTTTTGCAGTGGGGAAAACAATTTCAAGGTCACTCTTTGACAAGTTCCAATGTTACCTCACTCAAGTTTGTGTTGAGAATGAGTTATATTCAGTTGGAAAAAATGTGAGAGAAAGTATTTTGCAATAAAGTTTTGGACACGCCAGAAAACTTTCAAGCGCCTATGCTGTTTTACTTCTCATTCAACATAGCTATTGTAGCTGTGGTGGTAAACGACTTTTCCAGGCTCTTGTGCAATCTATCAATGAAATCATTGGTGTATCATTCAGAAAGTAGCTTTTTAGTTTTTGAGATCTGAATAGTGTCTTCCAAGTTTGTCATATGAAACTTGAGCGCTCGGAAATTTATAAAACTTGAATGCAATGATTTAACCAGCAAAAACTTATTAAAGTATTCTAATGTTTTTCAAAAATAACAATAGAAAAGTAACTTGAAAAATATTTACATATAAACTAAAATAATATATATATATATATATATATATATATATATATATATATATATATATATATATATATATATATCTCTGTGTGTGTGTAAATATATGTATTAATAATATAATAATTATAATATCTAGTCAATCCATTCTTGTATATAAACAAGGGTTTAAACCCCAATTTATATACATATTCCCATATCTTGAACACTCACATTGATGGAAGTAGAAGGCATTATAACTTGTTCCTAGAGGGTAAAGTTTTTTAGCACTGCTTTACATAGTGTTCAAGGTTGTGCTTTTATTCTTATTCCTTTATTTGTTCTTATTCTTATTTCTCTTTTAAGTCTAGATTTATATTAGCTTTTCGTCAAATCTAAACTTTTAATTATTGTTATACTTAGATTTTCTCTTCCTTTTGAACTTCATTGCATTTCCTTTTTCCACCATACAAATATGTCACTTGAAGCTATTGATGTTATTCAGTTGGATTGAGTTTTTTATGTTATAGGGTGTAATTATATTATCAATCTCCAACTTCTATAGGATGTGATTACATGATATTTCTGTTTTTAGTGTCCTACTATTTCCCATTAATGTGGAGCATAATCATAATATCAATTGGATAGTTATAGTTTGAGTTTTGAAGAATGTTTAAAGATAAAGTTCATAGGAATACTATATATATGATCTTAAGTGGATTCTAAATTGTGATAAGGAGCTTGATTACTATAAAAATGTATTTAGAGATAAGTTAAAAATTTCACAAAGTATCATTTAGTTTACCTTTTGATCTTTTTTCTTTACTTTTTACTCTTTTATAACCTTTTTTAATTCTTTTTTCTATTCCATGTTATCATATTTTTAAATTCTAGTGTTAGTATCCTCTATTTTAAAGGTTAAATTACTTTTGTTAGAGTTTTGGGTAAAATATATATCTTTAGTTGTGAGTAATGTTAAAAGTTTTTGTTTTATCATTGTTATTAATGGTTTTATATGTTTTCTTGAGAATGTGGACATTTTTATTAATTTTCATATCTCAAGTGTTGAGTTATGTGTTAAAAGGATTGAATAGTGTGAATTTTTTATTTATTTTATGACATTTTAAAATAGGAAGGTTTTTATTCTCCAAGCTTTAAACACATTTCCTTTTTGTTATTTCCCCATTAGGTACTAAAAATTCCTCTTTCAATGTTTCTTCATCTATTTTTTTTTTCCACAATATTTACTTTTTCTTTTTTGCTTTAACATTTCAAACTTTTGGAGGAGGGGAGAGAGTGATAAATAAGAGTTTAGATAAAGTGAAGATAAGTAATTTAGTAATATAGCAAAGATGAACAATATAAATTTTAGAGTGAAGATAAATATAATTAGTTCGAATAGAATATTTTACTTTACTATAGTGAAGCCAAATAAATTTTATAGTGGAGTAAGGTTAAAAATTGATAACCAATGACAAATGTAACAAGTCTGAATAGAATTTGGTGCTTCAAAATTTCTTTTGAGAAGTGGATAAAAAGGATAAATAAAGTAAGTCAAACTTTCTATATATGATGTTGCAAAAAAATGAATATTGTGAGTTTAAATTAACATAAGCCAGGTTGACCGAAAGTAAAACACAAAGGTAAGTTTTATTTATAGTTGTAAATTTGAATTAAAGATAATCTCAAATGATGGTCAATATACAGGTTTAGAAATATGATATATTGTTTGTTACAATGGTTAAACCCTAAACCCACTTATCATGAGTAATATATTTTTATAAAAAACATAAATAAAAATATCTTATTAAAAAAATAATTATATATATTTTATTTATTTATTTATTTATATGAATATTGATTTTAATTATGTTATCCATCTAAATACACTCCAATCTCGGTGTAGATATCCTCTAATGATATACCCACAGCTTTTTCAATCATAGAAGCTAAAAGAATCCGTGTGATTGATGTTGAAACATACCCAAATGCAGCTTTTATATTTACTTATTTTTAGTAAATGTTTAAATATGTAAATGTTATAAAAAAAACTTTATCTTTATATTTTAATTATTTATTATTTATTTTATATTGTGCCTAGTCACAAAAAAAAATTAATATGTGTTTCATAAAATTTTTGGTTAGTACTTTAATAACTTAAAGATTTATTATTTTTAAGAATTTAAGAATTACCTAATTTATGTAAACAATAATCTTTACATCTTTATTTATAAATTTTTCTTATACAAACACCATTGATTTTATTTATTATATATTTAATTCCTCCAATTATATCTTTAATTAATTTTATATATAAAAATTTATTATACCACCCAAAAAAATTTCACTTGACCAAAAACTTTTTAAAATTGTGGTCAAATTTCAAAATTAATTAAAGTTTAAACTATTTAATTGTGGAAGTTGAATTCTTTAAAATTTACACTATGGAATGCAAAATTTATTAACTAATTAAACTCTAAATTTATATAACTTATATTGAAATTGTTTTTGTGTAACATACAACTCAAGACAAAAGGGCATTATATAATTGTATATTAGGATTTTGTGGGAAAACATGTGTTAAGATTATGTGTTTATTTTTTTTCCAATCACATTATAAATAATCCCATAATGAATTGAACTAATTCAATTTTATTTCTCAAAAATTAAAGTTATGAGATCTTTAACAAGTTCTCATACATTAACAAGTATTGAGATACTAACACTCTAAAAAATCTGGAGACAAAGTTTCTTTGACGGTTTTTTATATTAATCTTTTCACAGATTAGATTTTTCTTTTCCATTTTATTTCTTTCGCTATGCACTAGCTCCACCGCAGCCAGCATAAATCCCCGATGGATCTGCATTAGCAGTAATCCATGGATGAGCGAGAAGTTCTTTCAGAGGAAGTCTTTGCGAAGAATCCTTGCATAGAAGCTGCAAACCACGATGGATCAGCAAAGATCTTTGTGTGAGAAGTTCAGTACCTGGCATATGAGATCTTTTGCCGCTGTAGAGATCACTGGCTTGATTGGAAACTTCAAATCCACTCGGACAATGCTGCACACGGATGATCAAAGTAAAATAGCTAGAAATCAAACACGTCTTCTTCTGTACCGTCTGTAGGTATCCGACAGTTTCTGAGCTTCGAAAGGAGGAGTCCCAAACAGGAACTCGTAGCAGAGAACACCCAAGCTCCACACATCTACGCTTGCATCGTGCTCCTTATTTTCCACTGTGAGAACTCCCAGTTAGCAACGACCAGAGAGAAAACGAAGTGCAGTAGAGTACACACCCATTTCTGGAGGGAGATAGTCGAGAGTTCCACACATCGTCCGCCTCCGGTTAAATGTATGGACTGACCACCCAAAGTCAGCTATTTTCAGTTCACCCTGCCGATACAAAACTAGTAACCACTTCTCGTTTTACGAATTAGAAAGGCTTACCTTCATCCCAATGAGGAGATTTTCTGGCTTGATATCTCTGTGGATGACATGTTTCTCGTGGCAGTACATTAATGCCCTTGCCAAAGAAGCGATGTACTGCAGAAAGAAACAATAAATCAGGGCAACATATGGACGTTATCTTACAGTCGCCGCTCTCTTCTCGGAGAAAACTTTGCACCGTTGGAGCTCCTTGTACAGCTCGCCTTTGGCAGCATACTCGAGTATAAGATACACTCTATTCTGTGTGATCAAAACAAGAGCATCAGGAACTACTGGAAAGAGAAGAGAACAAATTCGAGAAATGCCCAACCTGATCATAGAAGTATCCATAGAGACGGAGAATGTTGGGATGTCTCAAGTGACTTTGGATCTCAATCTCGCGACGCAGTTGATGCTCGACTTGCGACTGCTGGAGCTGGTTCTTGAACAGCACTTTGAGCGCCACAACGTATTTACTCTACACATCAATAAGGGAGTAAGAAACGTTAGCTACCATCAAGCAGCGCAAAATGCAATGCAAGAACACATACTCTCTTCTCTCTGGCGAGATACACGTTTCCAAACTTCCCGCGGCCCAGAGGCTTCCCAATGTCGAAATCCGCAAGCTTCCATCGCCGCTCCTCGGGGACAGCCTCTGGCGCCTCCACCATCGCTAGAAACCAAGCCGATTACCCGCGATCTCGCAGCGCCTCGACCAATGCGCAGTGAAACCCTAGGTGCCGCCCTAGCTCAAGAAACACAGCCCCTCCTCTCACAATCCCTTCCTTCACATTAGGTGTTGTTACTTTGAAAGAGGACAATTTTGACACACAACGGTCACAAAATGACCTCTATGGCTTCCGTACACACCATGGCCCATCGTACGGTAGACCCATAGCAATACTTTCTCTTTGTTGTTTCTCCATTAAAAAGAATTTACATCCCTTCGCCTTCTTCCCCACGAATGAATCACACAGCAGCTCCAAATCTTTCGCGCTTTATCATTCTTCTTTTCTTTCGTTTCTGATTCTTTTTTTTCTCCGCTAGAACTTTCGTCATGACTGCTGCTGCTCCGACGAAGATTGAGCGAATGGAACTCTGATGAACAGCTGCCCGTGGAGCGTAACAACGGCCGATGTTTGATGAGCATCGATCTTTAGCGGCAGATTGATCACCTGCACAAATCGATGAGAAAAAACTTCCCGGAGAGAACGGTAGCTGAAAGAAGAAAACCCAAACCTTTCTAAAGGCAGTAACTCCCCAAGGATTGTCAGGTTGTTCGGGTTCTCCAGCAATGACAAGCCTTCCTCCGGCCTCGCATTGTATCCTTACCTGACAAAGCAAACGAAACGATCATCAAGAACAAGATCAAACCCAAGGAAAAGAAGAACACACCTCCTCTCGCAATAGTCCTGGAACAAGAGCATACACCTCAAAGCATTCGCGCTGCTCACAAGCCCAACCAGAAGTTCCGATCAGTGGGTCACTTGCGCCAACTTCAATTTACCATCTGCCACACGAGCAGTGCTCCTGCCTGAGCATGTCGTCACTAATCCTACCACTCTAAATGCAGTTCTACAACTCAAAACCCCGAAGGGTTTTCAACGGACTGTATGCCATATCGACCAGGAAGAACAGCTACGAAGGAAGGAAGAACTCACCGTTTGATGGACATTGATCTTCACCCAGTCGGCTTGTGGACCTTCGTCAATCACGTCCAGATCGAGGCCGCTGTGTACTGCCTTGCCTTTCAAGGGCTCGTGCTTTGCGAGCTTCTTCTTTGCGGAAAGATGAGAGTCGTCATAGCTGTTCTCCTTCTTCCCTTTGCCAGAACCATCTTTCCGTTTCAAGAAGCCTATTATCGAGACAAAAACAAAACCAGGCTGTTAGTCAAAGGAAAAAAACAGGAAAGTATGTTGGCTGACCTCGTTTATCACGTCTAGCCGAGCTCTTGTCCTGAAGTAAAAGCTCTGAGACAAATGCTAGCTTAGCGAAAGCTTACGTGAACATACCTTCGAGGGCAGTTCTACTAAGTCTCCATTCCCACGTTGAGAATGCCATCCCTGCATAGCTCTTGCCGCTGCATCTCGCCTCGCCCTTCCAGGAGGCTACATTAGAAAACAAACGAGAACAAACGAGGACCTTCGTCAGGATCCATAACTCCAACCGATAAGTTAAGTCTCACCTGTATAGGGGCCGAAGACAAACCGTCCTCGGACCTCGAAGGATCGCCCGGTTGATCATGGTAGACCGAAACTCCCGTCGTGAACTTCTCATACTCGAGAAGTGCCTGAGAAAGCAAGGAAGAAAAGAAAAAGTATCGCCTTTTAGAAATGCACGAGACATAAGAATACGTGAACCTTTTCATAGAAGCCACGGAAGGACCACGAAATGGTTGTGCACGTTCTAAAGGAGCAAGAAGACACACGAATCAATGCTAAAGGCATGAGCTCTTAAAGCAAAGCAACTTACTTGGGGGGTTTGAAGGAATCGCCGACTTGACGCCAAAGCTTTCCAGAGGTCACCTGGTAAACACAAATACGATCAAAACATCTATCGACTTTCCATTGTCCAAAACAAATATAATCGGGATATAGAGACTAACCTGTTCGTATCCTCCCAGTTTCATCACAGCCTTCCACAACCTGGCAGCAAAGAGAAAAACATCCAGAGAAAAAAAAAAAAAGTTTTAGAACAAGCTATGGAACTACAAGCTTACTTGAGGCAATTGAGCTCCTCTCCATAGAACTTGGGAGCTTTAAACTCCATGCTCCTCTCCCGGAAGAACTTCTCCAGCTCCTTGACGAATGCCAATTGCTCCTCCACAGTGCCATCGCCATCGTCCTCGGAGGTCTCCGCAAACCCATCCTCCAGGTTCCCATCCTTGTCCAGCGCCGAAGACTCCGTGTACTGCGTCGCCGCGAGCTCGTTCCCAGCGCCATCGCCGCCGCTATACTCATTCTCCACGCCATTCGCTTCCTGGCTTACGCCGGGCTCTTGCTCATGCTCTTGCTCCTTGCCTTCGTAGCTCACCTCCTCAGCCTGGAATCCGCTGTGCGTCGGCGACGCCGCCGCCGCCTCCTCCCCGGGCTCCTCCCCCCACGGCGCCATGTACTGCTGCTCCTCCTCGGGACCATTGCCGGCGTCGTCGTTCTCGTCGAAGCTCCCCGGATTCATGCCCTCGGAATCCATCCCTGCCAGAATTTCGCACCGCAAGAGCTCGTCGCGCTGGTCGCGCTCCCCGCGCTAGGCGCTGCGCGAAAACCCCATATCCTCCATAGCTCAGCCCTTCGTCCCCAGCAGACCGCCGTTGGATGTGAACGGGATCCAACGGCCACGCGTGCGTCTAAGACCTAAACATGCTTTAAACAAAATCCCCTCTTTATCCCCATACTTATTTAGCAGGCGCTGGCAAAAACGACCAAGCACGTCGAGATTTCCAATTCGTGGCAGCGTGAAATCTACCTCGGGGTAAAAGACAAGAAAAAGCACCGCGTACTTTTTACTAGAAGGATTTGTCCATGAGCTGTATAGGCCCCAGGATATTGCTCTTGTTGGTCTCTACAATGCAGCCATTCATCACCATTTCTTCAAGGATGAAGTGGGCTTTCTCCAAGTGGTACATGATATCGAGCTCGCACTGCCAAGAGTCGATCGAATTCCATCGATCGATAAATCGGTAAGACTGTCCAAAAGTGAGTAAAATGGAATTCGTGCTTACCACATTGCCGAAGTAGCGATCCATCGTCTCCACCACGCAATGGATAAACTCCAGAATCGCTAGCTCGTTCTACAAAGAAAAACAAGAAATGGGGGTGAGATCGAGCTAGACAAGAAGAAAATCGAGCCAGACAAGAAGAAAATATCACAAACAAGAGAGACTTTCTTTTTACCTCTTCGCTGTCCACTCCAATGAGGAAGAAGAGGGAGGCGTAGCGCCGATACACGACCTTGTAATTCCGATGCTCTACAAACGAACACTGCGCTGGAGGAAATCACAAGCGCTGTGTGGATCCATCTCGCAGGGCGCAAGATCTCATACCTGATTCTCCGTGCGCGCCAAGCACTTGCGGACGATCTCGCCTTCCAGCGCCCGGCGCTCGTCGATCGTGAGCTGCTCGTAGTACTGCGCCAATCGCGTCTGGCCCTGCTTGTTCACCAGAAGGACGAATCGGATCGCCATTTTGGAGGAAATCTTGATCTTGCAAGAACCCTATAGGCCATTTATTACCCGGGGGAAAAGGTTATTCTATGCGGTAAAGCGTCAGAATGAGAAGGGGGAGCAAACCCTAAGAAGGCTCTGGGATTGATGCATCGTTGTGCGAGGCGCAGGAGATGCCGGCGCCAGGATTGCGCTCCCTAGGCGGTGGCGCATCGGGATCTTCCAGCGAGCGGTGGATCGATCGATAGCGAGCGTCGGGTCGGCGTCGCGGCAAGATTTAGGCGCTCATCCTCCCGAGATTTGGAAATGTCGCCTCGGAATTTCTGGTGAGCTATAATATTTTGGTTCTTGGCCGGTTGTGGAAGCTCAAGTGATGGATCAGAGAGTCATGGCGGCCTGGCCCTTCGCGAATCAAGGGGTCGAGGGTTACGCGCCGTCAGTTCCTGTGGAGGTTTCAGGAGCTCTCCATCAAGCCTCTTTCGTGTCGGTGGCCGACCCGATGAGTTTCTACATCCAATCGACTGGGGCTAACCCCACGGAAGCTATGAGCCATTTCATGTCGCCGCTGGATCCAGGAGCTCCGTCGGTGAGGCCCTACTTGCAAGCAACCGCGAACGTTCCCCAAGAAGGATTTGTTTTCATGAGAGCTTCCAAGCCGCAGGAAGGCGTGACGATATCATCAGCCCACACCAGCCGAGACGATGGTACGTTTTGTTGTTTTGGTCAATTGCTCTTCCTTCTATGATTTTTCATTTTTTAAAATTCTTTGTTGTTTTTTGTTCTTGGCAGACCATGTGTCAAACTTATCGGAAGAGATGCCAACGAGAGTGAAGCTCCTGTGCAGTTATGGCGGTAAAATTCTTCCCAGGCCCAGCGATGGGAGATTGAGATATGCCGGTGGAGATACGAGAATGATCGCAGTGACCCGCGACACGAGCTATCTGAATTTGATGCTCAAGATGGTCGAGATTCAGCCACAGACTGTTGCTATCAAGTACCAGCTTCCCGACGAGGATCTGGACGCTCTGGTCTCCGTTTCCTCGGAGGAGGACCTCGAGAATATGATGGAGGAGTTTGACAAGCTAGAAGCTGGGGACGGGCATGCAAGGCTGAGGGTGTTTCTTTTCACGTCACTGGATTACGATGTGATCGGGGACAGTTCTGGTGATTTGAAGAACACGGAGCAGCAGTATCTGGACGCTGTTAATGGTCTTATGGAAGGGGCTTCGAGAAAGAGTTCAGACGCTTCAGCACAAAGCACGAGCCCGCAAGGCATTCAGGAGGTTTCTCCAGCTGCGGTACGAGTACCTCAGGTTTCTCAGGGCGTCCCCGTCATGGCTCAGTATACGTCGGTTCCAGCTTTAGCCAATGGCACCATCCTTCCTTCGATGATGCCGGCTTCTGGATTTCACTATGGATATGTCAACGGGCATTCGGAGCCGGTAGACAGGAATCTGTTGGGACATGGTCAGTACATTATAACCGAGCCGAGTGTTTCAAGCGATTCCGAGAATGCCGCACGTCACCATCTAGTCATGCAACACGTTCAAGTATCTCAGGCGACTCCGCAAGTTCAGCAGTCCGTGATACAACCGCTTCAGGTTTCGCAGGCGACGCTACAAGATGTGCAGAGAAAAACAGTATTGGTTCCTCAGTTTCAGGGATACGTGGAGCCGCAACCTCAGAAGGCTGCTTTTACTGAGCACAATTATACTTATGCAGGTGACAGCCTCTTTCAGCAAAAGCAGCAAGTATGGTCGACAGCGGTAGGATCTGATGCACTGGGAATTTCCCCTGTGCTTCCTCAGGTTACGGCTTACAATGAGCTATATTCAAACCCTCCGCAACTGCCTGAGCAAGTATCTACGGAGCCATCCTATGACTATCAGGAGAGGTCAAGTCCAAAAGACTTACAAGAGACGCCTCCTGCTTCTAAGGTGAACATGAAGGAGAGTATGCTGCATCAGGGGGGGGTTAGCTGGCAACTAGCCGATCATATGGTTCAAGCGTCAAGTTCCGAGTGGAAGGACAGGGATACTCAGGGAGTTAGCACGGGAGCTGGAACATCTACTCTCCCAGGGTGGTCCACACCTCTTCCGTCTTTGACGACGTTGATAGCTCCAAGATCTGAGCCCGAACTTACGGGTAAGGCGCTGGAGCCTCAGCTGCCGGATGCACTAGTAAATTTTCTCGAGGACAGCCTCCATGCCGTAAGGACCGAGCGACCTCTTGTGGTTGAGAGCGGTCGTGGTAGTGGCAGTGACAGCAGCACTACCACGCAGATGGTGCATTCCGGGAACTCCTCCAGCAACATGTTTATGGACTTGCTCACGAGCGACGAAGTATTCTGCAAGACTTCTTGCACCTCAACAATGTCTGGAGGGTCCATCGCTGCTAGCTCGGCCTCGACGTCGTCACACGCTTTAGAGGCTTGTGCACAAGTTTACTCTGATACGTCACCCGTCTCCAGGCCATTGCACGGCAACTCCAATGAAGGTCTTCTGATATGTCTCACCGATGGGGATACGGGCCACACGCCCTGTCAGCCTTCTGCCGCTGAAGTGCACATTATGAAAGAAATGGCCGATCTTTCGGTGTCAGAGACAAGCAGTAACAGGAAAGCGGTAGCTGAACCCGAGGGTAACAGGTGCGACAGATCACTTGACACCAGTGACCTTCAAATCACAGTCACGGAGGTTACGGATGTTACTACCTCCAGGATAGAAGCGGCACTGATCGATTTGGCGGACCTGGAACTTGAAGAGCGTCCCATTTCTGCCGCAGAGTCGGAAGCTACCGCCCGTGCTCGTGGTTTACAGGTTAGTAGTTGTTTTGTACAATCCTCGTGCTTTTTTCCAACACGTTTGCAGGTAATTAAGCATTCAGATCTGGAGGAAATACGAGAATTGGGATCAGGTACATTCGGTACCGTCTACCATGGCAAATGGCGCGGAACAGATGTTGCCATCAAGAGAATCAAAGCTAGTTGTTTCTTTGGACCTCCATCGGAACAGGATCGGCTGGTACTTAGTCCAATCATTTCGGTATATTGCCACGTTTTTAATTTGTTTTCCAGAAGGACGATTTCTGGAGTGAAGCGTGTATATTAGCTCACCTGCACCATCCAAATGTTGTTGCCTTTTATGGAGTGGTACCAGACAGTCCAGGTGGTACACTGGCTACTGTCACGGAATTCATGGTTAATGGATCGCTGAAGCAGGTCCTGCACAAAAAAGAGCGGTGAGCGATCTTTTCTTGTGCTTTTGCTGGTTTGTGAGCTGACTGGGGTGAATGTACTATAGAATCTTGGATCGGCGTCGAAGACTCTTGGTAGCCATGGATGCTGCGTTTGGTATGGAGTATCTCCACGACAAGAAGATTATACATTTCGACCTCAAAGGAGAGAATCTGCTTGTTAACATGCGGGATTCACAGAAGCCTGTTTGTAAGGTATCGTGGTTACAGTCACGACTCAAATAGTGATTTATGCTTCGTAAATGTGTTGCGCAGGTGGGAGATTTGGGATTGTCCAAGATAAAACACAAGACGATGGTTACCGGCGGAGTGAGAGGGACACTGCCATGGATGGCCCCGGAGTTACTTAATGGAAGAAGCATCTCGGTGTCGGAAAAGGTTGTAAACGTTTGTCCAACTTGAGCTTGGCCTGATGCAAAATGCTCTCTGCCGCGTGTAGGTGGACGTTTTCTCGTTTGGCATTGTGATGTGGGAGCTCCTGACTGGCGAGGAGCCATACGCGGACCTTCACTACGGTGCAATCATCGGTAAACTACTCTAGATTCTTCTTTCCAAGTGTAGCTCGCCAACAACGAACGTTTTCGTCGCTTTTCTTTCTCCAGGCGGTATCGTGAGCAATCAGCTGCGCCCCCAGGTTCCCAGCAGCTGCGACCCGGAGTGGCAGTCCCTGATGGAGCGCTGCTGGGCGGACGATCCAGCAGTGAGGCCAACGTTTCCAGCCATCGTCGGAGAGCTGCGGTCGATGATGATGTCGCTGGCAAGGCCGACTGCTGGACAGATAAGTCCGACCCAACAACAGCAGGAGCAGCAGCAGCAGCAGCAGCAGCAGCAGGGATACGTACAGGGGCAGCAGAAGCAGCAAAGTTCCTAGCGACGATCATCCATCGCAGCAGCATCGTCATCATCGTTCATGGTCGAGGCAAGCAGTGGAATTTTCGTGCTTTTTCTACTTACGTGGGGTTTGGCGTTCTCGGGGTGATGGAAGTATAGAGATTTTGGAGCCACTGATAGCCATATGGTGTAAAGTCGCTGGGGGCAAGAGGCAAGCAAGCAGTGTATATAATGAATCCATCCATCCATCCATTCAGGTGCAAGAAAAAAGGAAGAAGAAGAAGAAGAAGAAGGAGAGCGTGAGTTTGTTTTGTTGGTGGTTCGTTCGAGTAAGATTTTGTAGCTGAGAAATAAAACCATGTAAAGAGCAGAAGGTGATAATTTGGACGTGGTCATTTCTTTCTAACACCCTCTTTCGTCGCGTTCTTGGCCAGCTCTGAGCACATATACGTGGGGCTTGCGTAAGAGGATGCGATGAGCACTAGGAATCACAAGGCCCACGCTCGTGAAGATATGAGAGAGAGAGAGAGAGAGAGAGAGAGAGAGAGAGAGAGAGATTTGGAACAAGTTGGAAAGAGAGAGATTTGGAGAGAAGGGGACTTGTGGAGAGAGACTTGGAACCATTTGGAAACAGAGAAGATAGAGACTAAGCTCTAAGAGCTTTGACAGAGTCCTATTCTTTTTTTGATCAATTGGGATGGGTGTGGGAGCTTTGATTCTACTTGGTTTGCTCGCGTTTGCGTCGTGGTGCGCTATCCACCGGATCCGGCAGATTGGAACCCCCGGGTTTAAGACTTGGCCCCTGATTGGTGTCACTCTGGAGGTGGCCGCGAACTATCACCGGATTTACGACTGGCTCTCGTGGAATTTCCGGGTCAAGGAGACGATGACAATGTCCGCCACCATGCCCGGACGATGCTACGTGTTCACGGTGGATCCGGCAAACGTGGAGCACATCCTCAAGACCAACTTCGCCAATTATCCAAAGGTAAGATCTTCTCGTCCGAGAAAAGAGGAGAGCTGGCTCCTTGTGAATCACAGGGGGAGGAGTTTCATGAGATTTTCGAGCCCCTGCTTGGGAATGGGATCTTCAACTCGGATGGAGAGCCATGGAGGATCCAACGCAAGACTGCCAGCTTCGAGTTTTCATCGCGGGTGCTGAGGGACGTGAGCTGCAGGGTTTTCAAAGATCACGCGCTCAAGCTCGCCAGGATTGTCCATGGCAGTCAAGAACCTTTGGAAATGCAGGCAAGGATCTTATCGTTTTTTCAATGAGATCTTCTCGATCATAGCAATTTTATCTCCAGGATTTGTTCATGAGGATGACTCTCGACACGATTTGCTTCCTCGGTTTCGGCCTCCATCTCGGCGTCCTCGCTCCAAATCTCCCCCGGAACGACTTTGCCACGGCCTTCGATGCCTGCAACGCCATCATCTCCTACCGCTTTGCCGACCCGTTCTGGAAATTCAAGAGGTTCCTCCGGATTGGACAGGAGCGCAGCCTCCAGCGCCATCTCCAAGTCGTGGATGATTTCACGCACAGCATCATATGCCAGAGGAGGCTCCAGCTCCAAGATCAGCCCAAAGACCACCAACAAGTACAAAGAAACTCCATTTCACTTGATCGCATTTATTCGATTCCTTCGTCTTTCTTTGCAGAGCAAACAAGATTTACTGTCGAGATTCATGCTGCTAGACGAGAGCTTCTCCGATGATCATCTCCGCGACGTGATCCTCAACTTCGTCATCGCCGGGAGGGACACCACCGCCAGCACTCTCTCGTATTTCACCTACATGATAGCCTCCCATCCGGATTGCGCCACCAAAATCTACCAGGAGCTCCACGAGTTTGAAGAACTCCAGCTCAGCGACAATTCCCATCGCCCAAGCAGTTTCGAGGACAAGATCCACGGATTTACCCAGCTGCTAACATACGAATCGCTGGCCAAGCTCGTCTATCTCCACGCCGCGCTCATGGAAACTCTCAGGCTCTTCCCTGCCGTGCCTCTGGTGATGAAAGAAAGAATCCAAGCTTCTTGGGCTGATCTCTTGGATCTTTTCTCTATTTCCAGAATTTCAAAGGAGTCGTCGCGGATGATGTTCTTCCATCTGGTGCTATGGTGAAAAGAGGATCCACACTTTCATACGCGCCGTATTGCATGGCCCATATTGAATCAATCTGGGGTTCGGATGCATCACAGTTTCGTCCCGAGAGATGGCACAGAGATGGAGCCTGGGATTTCAGCATCTCTCCATTCAAGTTCACGGCATTCCAGGTAATAGATTTGGTCAAACAGATTGAGGAGCAAGTGAGCACTATTTTCTTTTGCAGGCAGGGCCCCGCATTTGTCTGGGCAAGGATAGCGCCTTCTTGCAGATGAAGATCACTGCAGCCCTCTTGTGCAGATTTTTTGAGTTTCAACTTGTTCCCAGGCAGATTCTTACGTACCGAGTCATGGCTACCATCTCCTTCGCCAATGGTGTCAAAGTCACCACCTCGAATCGCACTTAAAATTAGAAGAATAAAGTCATCTGTGAAAAGATGTTGGTTAAGTTAGAATTGTTAAGCTCTAGGTAATTATTTTTAGTAAATAAGGTGAAGATTTTTTTCTAATATAATATATGTTCATTTAAATAAGCATCCATGGCAGTTTTATGCACCTCCCAAGAAGGGGAGTGGGCAACTTTTTTTTTTTCAAATCATAGGCATGTATATCATATATAAATTCTTCAATTGCTAGCTTATGCAAAATCCATGTTAGTGCCACATATGCATTTTCTGAGTGTTGTGTGAATCCATATTAGCTCAATTTACATCAACAGGGTTTAATCTTTGATTTAACAACATTTTTGCACACAAGTTGAATTAACAACACTTTCTGCACACGTTTGAGAGTTTTTTTTGGAAAGAATGGTCACTCAACATCATTGCCGTTTAAAAATTAACAAACTTGAGGAGATGGACTGCATTGCATACCTTGAGAGAATGCTACCTTTATGTTCTGCCAGGTCTTCTTGAGTAGCAAGATGAAGAAGTTAGCATTGAGTTGAACATTGACCTTCAATTTACTTTTCAAACTCTCTTGGTGCAACAGAAGAGTGGGGAACTTGCTGCCTTGTTCAAGGCCAAGCCAACCAGCCAAGGGATTTGCTTGATCACTGCCTCCTAAACTAAGAAAGCATGGTACTTCTTTACCAGCTTCTTCACGAGCTTGGTAGTGTCTCAATACTCTCAATGTTTGTGTCACCATTCTACATCATATTTGCTGTCTTGTGGGTTATATACTAGCATCTAAACTTTTTGTGGATTGCTCAAGATATACTAATGAGTCATGCTGACCCAATAAGAGGCTCTTGGTTTTTTGCAAGGTTGTCATTGTTCTCCAAATTGTACATCTTCCAAATATAAAGGTGAGTGCTTGTCCCATACACACACTTTATCTAAAAGCTATGTGGAATCCTTAGATGTTAGCAGTCTTTTTGGGATGTGATATATTTTAGATTTTTATCTCATTCATTTTCAAACAAAGTGTTATGATAATGTGATGCAAATCTTCATGGATTGTTAACCACATACCAATGGTCCTTAAGTACCTCTGATTTACAACCCATAGGGAGGATATAGTATAATGATTCTGATTTACAACCCGTAAGAAGGATATAGTATAATGATATTTGCTGCAACATTTTTAATCTTTCACTCTAAGGTTGGGGAATATAAGAGCTCATTTTTTCCTTGCAAGTTTGACATAGTGACCAGAAAAAGCTTGTGAAAATGTTAGTTTCAATCTAGGTGAGCATCTTGCTTTTGTGAACACATCATGTGAAAATTGCATAGATTTATTTCTTATAGGTGTCTGACATGTCCCATAAAAATATTATAATCATATCTTAATTACAATCAAAATGTGATTATGTACATTATAATCTTGTGTGCAATTGAAAACAAAATAATATATCTGCACATGTGTAAATAAAAAATCCACTCATGTGCAATCACATATTCACAAATAGCAAACGTAGTAGACTTTTACTTGACTTGAAACCACCTGACCATTGCATTCTTGCCAGACTTTGAGCTACCCTTCTAGCCGTTCTGGAAAAGAACTAACAACAAAGAAAGTACTAACTTTCAATTGATCTTATGAGACAGAGAAAATGGACAGTTTTTTTCCTTATTCTATATAAGGACCCAAAAATTCCAATTCTCTTATTCTCAGGTGCAGTTGGAGGTGGTGACTTTGACACCATTCACAAGGGAGATGGTGGCCATGACTCGGTACGTCAGAATCTGCCCAGGAACAAGTTGAAACTCGAAAAATCGGCACAGGAGTGCTGCTGTGATCTTCATCTGCAAAAAGGCACTGTCTTTGCCCAAACAAATGCGGGGCCCTGCCTGCAATAAGAAAATGTTGCTCGCTCGCTCCTCAATCTCGTGATCGATAGAGTACCTGGAATGCCGTGAACTTGAATGGAGAGACGCTGAAATCCCAGGCTCCATCTCTGCGCCATCTCTCGGGACGAAACTGCGATGCATCGGAGCCCCAGATTGATTCAACACGAGCCATGCAATACGGCACGTATGAAACCGTGGATCCTCTTTTCACCACAGCACCCGATGGAAGAACATCATCCGTGGCAGCTCGTTTGAAGTTCTGGGAAGAAAAATCATTAGTTCAAGAAGCTTCGAATGAGAATCCAAAGGGATTCTCTCTCATTCACCAGAGGTACGGCAGGGAAGAGCCTGAGAGTTTCCATGAGCGCGGCGTGGAGATAGACGAGCTTGGCCAGCGATTCGTATGTTAGCAGCTGGGTAAATCCGTGGATCTTGTCCTCGAAGCTGCTTGGGCGATGGGAATTGTCACTGAGCTGGAGTTCTTCAAACTCGTGGAGCTCCTGGTAGATTTTGGTGGCGCAATCCGGATGGGAGGCTATCATGTAGGTGAAATACGAGAGAGTGCTGGCGGTGGTGTCCCTCCCGGCGATGACGAAGTTGAGGATCACGTCGCGGAGATGATCATCGGAGAAGCTCTCGTCTAGCAGCATGAATCTCGACAGTAAATCTTGTTTGCTCTGCAAAGAAAGACGAAGGAATCGAATAAATACGAGCGTGACTGGCGATCCTTGGAAGTGGAATGGAGTATCTCTTACATGTTGGTGGTGTTTGTACTGATCTTGGAGCTGGAGCCTCCTCTGCTGTATGATGCTGTGAGTGAAATCATCCACGACTTGGAGATGGCGCTGGAGGTTACGCTCCAGTCCAATCCGGAGGAACCTCTTGAGTTTCCAGAAAGGGTCTGCACAGCGGTAGGAGATGATGGCGTTGCAGGCATCGAAGGCCGTGGCAAAGTCGTTCCGGGGGAGATTTGGAGCGAGGACGCCGAGATGGAGGCCGAAACCGAGGTAGCAAATTGTGTCCAGAGTCATCCTCATGAATAAATCCTGGATAAATTTTCTAGAAGATCTCAATAAAAAAAGAAGAGCTTTTGATCCTTGCCTGCATTTCCAAAGATCCTCCCGATTCCTGACTACCATGGACAATCCTGGCGAGTTTGAGCGCGTGATCTTTGAAAACCCTGCAGCTCACATCCCTCAACACCCGCGACGCAAACTCGAAGCTGGCAGTCTTGCGTTGGAATCTCCACGCCTCTCCATTTGAGTTGAAGATCCCATTCCCGAGCAGGGGCTGGAAAATCTCTTGAAAATCCTCCCCCTGTGAAGAACAAAGAAAAGAAGATCAAGAAAATTCTCCTCATTTCTGAGTTTTCTCGGAAGAGAGCGATCTCAAACAAGATCTTCTATACCTTTGGATAATTGGCGAAGTTGGTCTTGAGGATGTGCTCCACGTTTGCTGGATCCACCGTGAAGAGGAAGCTTCGTCCGGGCATGGTGGCGGACATTGTCATCGTCTCCTTGACCTGGAAATTCCACGAGAGCCAGTCGTAAAGCCGGTGATAGTTCGCGGCCACCTCCAGAGTGACACCGAACAGGGGCCAAGTCTTAAACCCGGGAGTTCCAATCTGCCGGATGCACTGGATTCCGCACCACAACACAAACGCGAGCAAACCAAGTAGAATCAAAGCTCCCACACCCATCCCAATCTTTACTTTGACCAAAGGAATAGGATTTCTATCAAACCTCTTGAACTCCTCTTTCCCAGTTGGTCTCTATCTCCTTTCTTCCAAATGGCTGAAAATCTCTCCCCACACTGACTCCCCTTTGTTGTGTTGCGTGGACGTGGATAGAGGAGAGACGATTTACTGTCCCATCATGCAGATCTTTGCAATACACCTCAGTTCATGATCTTGTCATTGTATCAGAGCAAGCTCAATGTCACGATTGTGAGAAGATTGTAAGGCACTCGGATGCTATTACCTTCACGAATCTTCCAAGAGCGGTCCAGCTTAGTAAGCAAAACAGCCCTATTGGCCGCTTTGGACCACCACGTAAAGCGTTTGGTGGTGAATTACTTGACACGTCACAAGGGTAAACGAATATTTTAGGAGGTGTTTAGAAAAGTTTATTATAAACACAAGATTAATTGGATTCAAGTTCAATAAAAGTAAAAATTGTCCGTGTTGACCACATAAACTTTGAACTTCTCTAAATACAAGCTTGCAAATAAGTTATATAATGCATTTAGTTCAACTCATTATAAACCATATCAACTCATACTATGCAAGTCTATAAAGGAGTTAGCATTATTTAGCATGTAACCTCATATGTATGCAACCACATTTAAAACAATATAAAAACTAATTATTATTATTACATCAGAGTGCTACTCATTAGTGCCCAGCTGGAGGCATGAGGTCCTAGCTTGAGGTTTAACTCCTGAAATTCCTCCAAGCACCGGAGAGAACCAACACCACCAAGAAATAGAGAGAATTCATACTTTCCTTAATAAAATCTTGATGAGAAAAATGCATGTATATTCATACCAATAAATTAAGAGCTAGTAAGTATGTCTCTTTATCTTTAGCTTGGTTCTGGATTACTCTAAAATATACCTTAATACAGCCAAGTGAAAAGATCCTTAAAAACCATCATAAAATACATCATCTAGATACCCTTCAAAGACTCTTCTCTATTGAGTTCATGGGTTCAATCTTATGCTTAATAAGATCTTAATAGTTGTATAAAAGGCGATATGTTTGAGGATTTGAACAAAGACAATAATCCACTTTCCAGCACCAAGATTCTCTAGACTTGAGCTCTTGGTTGGCTATGAAGAGACCAAGTAACTACTCGTGCCATAGACGATTCTATATGGCACAACCTAGGACGCATGGAGCTAGTCAGACCCGTCTGATGACTACCAGATGGTGGATGGATCTAGCACTGACCATAGGTGCCATCTGCTATGGTATTTACTGCACGATGATAAATCCAACTGGCCCACCTGGATTTCCCCAGTTACCTATAGCACCGTGGGTGTGCACAACACTAGCCACCTACTGTTGTGGAGCATACAAGTTGCAAGTAGAAAATGGATGCCACACAACCCCTGGGAGCAAAGGCGATGTCAAAAATGTAATTTGGGCCAAGTAGAGGATGTCTTCCACATCCTCTATTAATGCCCGAGTTATAAGCCATTGCGGGATCAAACCACACTCCGAGTAAGACTAAGGGACCAAAGAATGAATTATGCATTACATCCATGCAGATAGGGCAAGTGGACTATAAACAAATTATATTCTAGAGCCTTCTAGACAACATTACTGCTGGTCAATGCCTGTGTCAAATGATAATAAAAGAAAATGTAATAGTTAGCTACCAACAGATTAAAACTTTAATATACAAATTGTGTATACCAATCTCAATGTCTTTCTTTCATACAAATGATATATACAATATAGATAACATTGAACATTTATCACTTATAGCCTCCTATTTCACTTATACCCTTTATATAGGCATAAAGGCACCTATGTAAGTGGGATTTCGATAATTGAGTTTTACTTTTCCAAAAACGAAATTTTGATCTGTTTAGAATTTCTCTCGGCCTCTTATGCTTTTAGAAACTCAAGAGGTGCGTTTTCCTCTTTATATTTCCAATATACAACACAAGAAGGAATCCTTCCCTGCTCTATAAATCATATATAGACAAACTTCCTGCAAGTTTTGCTTGACACTCTCTCCTCCATCACTCCCCAGGAAGAAACAAGAATAACCAGAAAAGAAAGAAAAGAAAAAGAATAACCAAGAAAGAAAAAATGTCCGAGGAGAAAAAAGAGAGAAAATAAAAAGAAACAAAGAAAAACAGGAAAAAAAGAGAGAACCTGGAATGGGATGGATGGAGTAGTAGCGTCACGAGAATGGGAGGCTCGATTGATCCATATGTCTCAAACGATCCACCACTTGCCGCATGGTTGGCCTGACCGTGAGCGAATCCACCGTGCACATCACCGCCAGCTTGAGCGTCTCCAGGAGGAACGCCTCGGGGCCCATCTCCCACAGCTCCACGATGAACACCTCGTGAGCTCGTCCCTGTCCGATGAGCAAGCACGCCCACCCGACGATGGTAAACCCGTGTCCATAGTCCGAGAAGGCCGGATCCAGCGCCTTCTTCCCCGATAGCAGCTCCAGCAGCACCACTCCATAGCTGTAAACGTCTGCCTTGTCCGACACCCGGCACGTCATGGCATACTCCGGCGCGACGTAGCCGAAGGTCCCAGCCACGTCCGTCGTGGCGTGCGTCTCGGACGCACCGAGCAGCCGGGCCAGCCCAAAGTCGGCCAAAAACGCCGTCAAGTTGTTGTCCAGGAGGATGTTGCTCGGCTTGATGTCCCGGTGGAGCACCCGTGGCTGGCACTCGTCATGCAAGTAGGCCAGCGCTTCTGCGATGCCCATCGCGATCCTGTGCACCACCGCCCAGCTTATCTCCCCCCGGCTCCGGTTGTGGATGAAGCTCTCCAGGTTGCCCCGCGGGAAGTAGTTGTAGATGAGGAACATCTCCCCCTCGCTCGCGTGGTAGCCGATGAGCTTCACCAGGTTCGAGTGCTGGATCCTCCCCAGCGTCCGGATCTCCGTGTCGAACTGCTGCACGCCTTGGAACCTCCCAATGGAGAGCCGCTTCACGGCCACCACCAAGCCGGGCATCATCTCCGCCTTGTAAGTTGCTCCAAAGCCACCGTTTCCTATCAGGTAGTCCACGCTAAAGTTCCCAGTCGCTCGGACGACGTTCTCGTACGTGAACCGGAAACCGATGTTGGTGAAAATGACCACCTCTTTCCTGCCACCCCGGTTTCCAGGTGGCCTGGGAACTCGCTGTTTCGTGCACTGGACCAGGAGTACGAGAACCAGCAGCACCACGGCAACAGCGCAGCCTGACGTGATCGCCACGATCACAACGACGCTCAGTCCGCCACCGGCCGGAGGGTCCTGTGGAGCCGCGACCGGGTCAAGATTTTCCTCCATGTATCCGGGTCCGAAAGCAGCCAGCGACGTCGGGCACGGCTTGAGATATGGATTTCCCTGGAAGTGCTCCTTGTCGCACATCCCCACCCAGCTTCCCGAGCTTGGAACGGAGCCGGAGAAGTTGTTGAAGGCGAGGTTGACGGCCACCAAGGAAGTGATGTCGGAGAGCACCGGGGGTATTGTCCCGGAGAAGTCGTTGTTGTTCAGTAGCAAGTACTCGAGGTGACTGAGGTTGGCGAGGGAGGAAGGAATGGTCCCGTTCAAAGTGTTGCCGGAGAGGTCGAGCAGGCTCAGAGAGGACGCCTGGCCCAGCTTCTCCGGAATATCTCCCACGAGAGAATTATTCGCGAGGAAAAGGCTCGTCAGCATCTGGAGCTCGCCGAGTTCACCTGGAATGCTGCCGCTTAGCCGATTGCGCGAAAGATCCAAGAGGCTCAAGTTGCCTAGAGTCCCAAGCTCCTTCGGCAAAGCCTCCTCGATCAGATTGTTCGAAGCACTGAACTGTACCAGGGATTTGCATCCTCCTATATCCTGGCCGGACAGCTCGCCCGAAATCTGGTTGTCGCTCAAGTTTGCCATGAACGCCTTGAACCTTCCACAGAAGGCAAAAAAGGAGGACGGGATGTTGCCGGCCAGCCTATTCTCCGACATGAGGAGCTCGTATACCGGTTCTTGTTCCAGCAGCTCGTCGCCTATTAAAGGTGCTGGAACAGGACCCGAGAAATTGTTGCCGCTTATATCATGCACAACGATTAACCCAGAGCTGAGACACGTCTCGCTTCTCCGTTTCCCGCAAAACGGTCTTCCCGAGCAAAACGAAGGGTAAACCACTGGCTCTTGCGTGTCATTGCACTCGATGCTCCTTCGGGGTAGAACATCTCCGGACAAGCTGTTCCTGCTTACGTTGAAGACGATCATACAAGAAGTTGGCAGCTGTGGTGGTAACTGAGCCTCTAGCCTGTTCAAGCTGAGATCTAAGTACGTGAGTGACGAGCACTTTCCAAGGCCCTGAGGAAAGTCACCCGTGAACGAGTTACCGGCAAGATTGAGGCTCCTCAGCCTCTCACAGGCCCCCCACCCGTCGGGAATACCTCCTGTTAACGCTGCATGAGGTGCCCAGAGAACTTGGAGCTTGGGCAACTTCGAGATGCTGCTCGGAAGCGGACCATCGAACTGATTAAATTCTGCCTTGTCAACACCCCGGACACCATCCCCAGTAGTACAGTTGAAGGGCGAAACACACGAGCTCGGATGTGTCAAAACCAGAAAGGAGAGCTCCAAGCAGTCACCTAAAGCTGCCGGAACCTGACCTGTTAGCCTGTTCATCGATACATCGAGCACCTGAAGCATTCCCAGACGGCCGAGCTCGGAAGGAATAAATCCTTGCAGATAGTTCGATTCGAGGACGAGAACCTGTAGCTTCGAGCAGTTTCCCAGCCAAGGTGGAATGCCGCGAATAAAAAAGTTACTTCCCAGGTCCAAGTACTCCAATGTTCCACAAAGACCCTGTAGCCCCGGAGGAATGACAGAGCTCAACTGGTTGGACGTCAAAGAAAGGTGACGCAAGCGTGACAGTCCTCCCAAACTCGCTGGAATCCCCCCAGAGAGCTTGTTTCTACCAAGGCTGATGTGGACCAAGCTGCGGCAGCTTGCGATGGCTGGCGGGATTGGGCCGTCGAGCAAATTCCCTTCCAGATCCAACACCTCCAAGCTGGAAAGAGCTCCAAGCTCTGCCGGTATCCCACCCGAAAAGGAATTCTCCTGGAGGCTGAGCACCTGGAGCTTGCGCAGCTTGGAAATCTCCCTGGGAATTCCACCCCTGAACCTGTTATACCCCAAGACGAGACTCCTCAACTCGGACAAGTTGCCAATCTCCGGTGCCAAAACTCCTTCCAGGATGCAAGACCCTCCTTGCAAACAAGCCAACGATCCCGGCTGCTGCGTTTGGACATTCTCCCAAGAGTCGCTGTGGCTGCTGCTACAAGTGCCCAAGAAGGCCCCTGTCAAGTTGAGAGACGTGACTCTACGATCCTGTGCGCAACTAACACCCGCCCACAAGCACGGATCAACGCTGCCCGCGTTCCACCCAGAGAGAGCGTCCGAGGGGTCAAGCGCCTTCTTTACTGCCAGGAGCGCAATGCCGTCGCCGGATAGCTGTGCGAGGGACGGAGTGAGAGAGGCAGCCAGCAGCAGGAGCCACAGGAACCACGACATAGCCAGAATCTCGCCTCTACCCCTGCATTATCCCCCAAATCTCAGCTCCAGCCACCGATCCAGCCCTCCCTACGCCTGATTCCCTTGCGCTTCTTCCAGTAGAAATCCGAATGCCGCAGCCTGTGCCGGAATCGCCCCGCCTCCTCCGCCATCCCGACGCGGACCATTCCTGCAAGGAAATGCTTTCTTACGGCAGGGAATGTGCCCGAATCCGGGCGAGCCGCATCGCCACTGCTCCTCTCCTCCGCCAAGAACACTAGCACAGGACCCTAACCCTACCTGGGCCAAAAAAAAAGGTGTACGGCATACATTTCAACGCCGGCCGTTGGATACCCAAGCCGAGAATCCGACGGTCAGGAAGAGACCAAAGAACGACATAACTTTAACCACGAGGAAAAAAAATTCATACTTTAGAGCCTGCGAGTCTCCATTGTTCTAAGAGTCTTTCGAGCTCGATCTTTTCCTCCTCGGCATTTGGAGCAAAGTAGCGATCTCTCCAGCGAAAACCACTTCTCAACCTCGAGAATTCGATCTCGCTACGACGTCGAGCAAATGTCGATCACTTCACGAGCAAATCTCTCCTCCGGACGAAGAACTTTTCACTGCTGGTGCTGCTGCCGCTGGTGATGGTGCTGCTGGTGCTGATGGTGGTGCCTGGTTCGTCGTCTCCGAGTTGTCGAAGGCCCAACAATCTCTCCTCCATTCTCTCCAGCAGCAGCAGCAGCAGTGGAGTTCGAGCTAGCTCCACCACCGCTTCCAGACGAAGAACTAGTCACAGTCCCTGTTCTTCCCTCGTCACCGCCAACAACACGGTTCATCTGGATATCCTCCCCCCACAAAGCTTCCCTCGGGGCAGCCGACGACGCCGCGGCCGCCGCCACCACCCTGGACGAAAGTCCTCTAAGCCTGCTTGGGATGCTACTACCACCTGCAGTCGCTCCAGTCGCTGCTACAGGACCAAACACTTGAAAAAGCAAAAAGACTGTCCACCAATTACCATCGTCGCCAGGAAAATCATTGTCATCACCCTCATCTTCCTGGTCATCGTTGTCCTCGTCGATCACGTAGTCACCCAGGATCCGAGCTCCGGGCATGGCCGACTGGATGGTGCTCAACACGTCCCCTATGTCCCGCTCGCGTTCCAGGTGCCTCCAGTCCCTCTGCCGGGCCGGATCCACGTCCGAGGGCCGAGCAAACGGGTGCACACACCGAGCGTGCTTCCGCAGCTCGTCGTAGCTCCCGGTGAATCCACACGACTCCTGTGCGCAGTTCCTCGACTTGCAGTTTAGATGCCGCCGAGCCGGCTCCACCACCTTCCACCCCACAACTTTGCCTCTACACAGAGGACACATCAAGTCGAGTGACTCCCCCATTCCACTGCAGCTGCTCCTTACTTCCGGCTGCTCCTCGGACGCTTCCCTCGCCTCGGACTGCTCCTGGAAGTCGGCCACCTCCGCCTCGGGCTCCTCCTCTACGACCCCTACACCCGGAACTCCTCTGAGAGCTCGCCCCGGAGTCCCAGACCCATCACGACCACCGTTTCCACCACCTCGTCTAGAGCTGCTGCTACTGTTGCTGTCACCTATGAGCAAGAGCTCCCGGAGAGGTCTCATCCTCACGGCCGATCGCTCGCGAGTTCTAGCGCTGGACGATCCTCCAGCGGCGGCCGACGAGAGTGGCTCGTGGATCACCTCCTCGCCTCGGCTGCTACACTGCCCGCCGCCTCTTCCCGAGAGCTTCTTGTACTGGTCCAGGCAATTCGAGTGGCGATAGCTCGTATCACACATGTAAGGCCGGCATCCATTGTCGTGGGAGCTGCAAAGGAGTAGCACTGCGTTGTGTGGGATCTCCATGCAAATCGGGCATGTCGCGTCCTCCCATTCTTTCGAGACCAGAGCCTCGTCGCCACCCTCTTTAGAGGAGCTCTGGTAAGGATGGTAGTGTGGCGGGCGAGATTTTCGTGACGATCGATTGCTCACATCCTTCGGCATCCTCTTTTTTCGCGTTGTTCTTCCTTCCCTCCTCAGTCGGCAAGAGCTTCGCTTCACCGACAAGGCAAGAATGAAAATGCCCTCGCTGGCCGCGCGGCGCCTAGAGCGCAAGCTCCTCTAGCTCGCTCGCTCGCTCGCATCTGCGCCAAGATCCACGAAGAGAAGGGGGATTATTGCCAACAATCTCTACCCTAATTGCAAGAACAAGCACCTGGAAATCGCGCGGCTCCAAGATCCCCGGCGCTGCTGCTCAGATCGATGCCCGCTCGTCGCAGATCCGGAGGATTGGCCAGACAGCGCGGCGGCGCGGCGGCGCCACTGATCGATCGCGCGAGGCCACCGGCGGTAGCCCGTAAGCGTTGCGTCTCCTCCCTGGGAAACGTTCAAGTGCTTCTCACGGCTACGGGGATATTAAGCCCTACCGTACGCCCTGGCCCTCCAGAATGTTGGCCATGAGCGCGTACGGAGCCAGCGACCCATGGCCCAGCCCCACCACGGATTCGAACGCGTGACCGCCCGCCCCAGCCGCCTCGCCGTTATGACATGCGCCGCCCAGCACCGTCATCCACGCCACGTCGTCCGCCACGTAAGGCATGTCATAAGCCACGCGCAGCGCTTCTTCCAGCTTCCCGGCCCGGCTCAAGCAGTCGATCACGCAAATGTAGTGCTCGATCTTTGGGCGAATTCCATGGCTGGGCAGCATCGATTCGAGCAGCTGCTTCGATCGATCCACTGCGCCGCTGTGGCTGCAAGCCGTGAGGAGGCACACGAAAGTGGCGCTGTTTGGTTCGATGGCTTCGTCTCGCATGGATCGAAAGAGCTCGAAGACTCGCTGGCTGTCGCCTTTGCGAGCGTATCCTGCGAGAAGCGAGGTCCAAGTTATGGAGTCACTAGAATGGAGTGAATCGAATACCTGGTGCGCGTCGAGCAAGCTGCCACATTTTCCATAGACGTCGACGAGCGAGTTTGCGAGAACTCCATCTTTCTCGGAAGAACCGCGTCTCGCCGCAAGGGCGTGGATCACTTTCGTCGAGTCGAGCGCTTGAGAGCTCTGGCAGGCCTTTAGAGCGGCTAGAAACGTCCGGGAGTTTGGCTCGCAGCCACCATCTTGGATCATCAGCTGGAGGAGCTCGAGAGATCTTTCGCGGTCGTTGGTCTCTGCGTAGCCGAGGATCAAAGCGTTCCACGAGACGACGTCGCGAGAAGCCATCCGATCGAAAGCTCTCTGCGCATCCGCCATGCTCCCACACTTCACGTACATGTCCATCGCAGCGCTGGCCACGAACTTATCCCTGTCGCTGCCAATCTTCGCTGCTCGCGAGTGCAAAGCCATTCCTTTCTCGATGGAGCTCACCTTGACGATCACTCCATCGAGTTCTATCCCAGCTTCCTTCTCTCCCAATCCGCTGCAAGCCTTGAGAGCCGCCACAAAGCTCCGGGAGTTTGCCCGGCATCCCTGGAGCTCCATAGCTCTCAAGACTTCCATCGCCAGCTCTTCTTCACCGTTCTCGGCATAGCCAAGCATCAATGCGTTCCACGAAACCACGTCTCGAAAGTCCATCCCCTCGAAAGCTCTCTCTGCGTCCTCCATGCTTCCGCATTTCGCGTAGAGATCCACCAAGCTGCTCGCCACAAAACTGTTCTTGATCAATCCCCTGGCTCGAGAGTGAATCGCGAAAGCTTTCTCCAGAGTAGCCAGCTTCACAGTCCTTCCACCAATCTCCCTGCCTTGTTCTTGCGAAACCAAGCTAGCGCACGCCTTGAGAGCAGCCACTATCGTCTGGGAATCCGGGGAAAACCCCTGGAGCTCCATCGCGGCGAGCAAATCCAAAGCTAGAGCTCCATCTCCATTCTCTGCGTATCCCAGTATCATCACGTTCCAAGGGACGACGCTGCGGGATTTCACGGCGTCGAAGACCCGGCGAGCATCGATCAGGCTGCCACACTTGCAGTACATGTTGATCAGCGTGCTGGCCACGAAGATATTCGAGTCGATTCCACGCGCTGCTGCGTCGGCGTGGATTCTCCGCCCTTGCTCGGCATTCTTGGATCGAATGCACGCCTTCAATCCAGAAATCACGGCAAGAGCTTGCTTCTCTGGCGATCCGAAGATGCGCGACTGCGATTCCACTGGGAGCGTACCTCGGTGCCCCGGTCCGGGCGAAAGATCCATTGCTCGATCACTTTGAGCATTTCTCCAAGAACCCTAAAATATTTCTCTTCGTTGCGTTAGGGCAATGGGATGCGAAGCGCCTCGAGGCGCTGCAATGCGGCATTGGTTTCCAGCGCAAGATCGCAGGTACTAGCTGATCTAGCAATCGATCGATCACATTTTCTTCTTTCTCGCCACGCAGATCATCCACAGTTTATCAGCTATCGACTTGTGCTCTTCTTTCAAGCAATGGGGACGCCACAGCCATTCTCCGGAGGCACTCCGATCAAACATCGGTGTTTCTCTTTCGGCACTACAAGCATGCAGCAAGCTCAAAGACTCAGAGATCGGGAGAAAAATCCACAGCGATGCCGCTCAAGGAGAAATCGACGCAAACATCTTCGTGGCCAACACGCTGATCAGCACGTACGCGAAGTGCCGGCTCATGGAAGAGGCGGCCAAAGTTTTCCATGGTATCCAGACTCGCAGCGTGGTTTCGTGGAACGCTTTGATGCTGGGCTATGCCGAGAATGGAGAGGAAGAACTGGCACTGGAGCTCTTTAGCCGCATCCAACGCGAAGGCCCTGGACCGAATGCTCGAACTTTTGCTGCTGCTGGTAAAGCTTGCTCCGGTTTGGCGGTGAAAGAAGCTGGGAGGAAGATTGGAACGAAGGTCTTGAAGGTGGCGGCTTTGGAGGTCGGGCGAGGGATTCATGCCCAAGCTGCAAAGGTGGGATGCGACTCGGAAGTTTTCGTCGCGAGCACCTTCATCGACATGTTTGCGAAGTGTGGAAGCATGGTGGACAGCGATGGAGTTTTCTCCAAAGCTCTACAGCGTGATGAAGTTTGCTGGAACGCTTTGATGCTGGGGTACATCGACAATGGGGAAGAACGGAGAGCTCTTGAGTTATTCTCCCGGATGGAAGCAGGAGGATGCCGACCAAACGCTCGAAGTTTCGTGGGGGCGCTTAAAGCTTGCAGCGCTTTGGCGAAAAAAGAAGAAGAACAGGAGGCATTACAGATTGGCATGGCGATACACGCTCGAGCGTCCAAGCTCGGGTACGAAAATGAAGGCTTTGTTGCCAGCACGCTGGTCGACATGTACATAAAGTGTGGGAGTCTGCGCCATGCTCGCCTGGTCTTCGACATGGTTTCAAGTCACTGCCCGGTCTCCTGGAATTCTCTGATGCTGGGATATGTGGAAAACAAGGACGAAGAGCAGGCGCTGGATTTATTCTCCCGCATGAGCACTGTGGGCCACGTCCGAGATGGTCGGAGTTTCGTTGCCGCTCTGAAGGCTTCCAGCGGTCTCGCAGGGAAAGAAGGCGGAAAGCAGGTCCAGGGAAAGCTCGTCAGAGTTTGCTCGCTGGAAAAAGTCATGGGAATCCACACTCAGGCACAAAAAGCTGGCTGCGACACTGACATCTTCGTTGCAAGCGCTTTAGTCGACGCATATGCGAAGTGTGTGAGCATGGAGGACGCTCGGAAAGTGTTCGATACTATGCCGCTTCACACGGTGGTATCCTGGACAGCGCTGATACTCGGTTACGCAGAGAACGACAGTGAGAATCTGGCTTTGGATTTGTTCTCCCGCATGCCGAGCCAAGGCTGTCCGCCGAACGTCTGGACTTTCGTAGCTGCACTGAAAGCCTGCAGTGGGCGTGCAGCAAAAGAAAAAGCTGATGGGAAGTGTGTGAAGACGGCGACTCTGGATGCTGTCATGGATATTCATTCTCGCACGAAGAACGGTGGGATGGACTCGGATATCATTCTGCTCGGCGCACTGGTTGATGCGTACGTGAAGTGTGGAAGCATGGACAATGCTCGAGAAGTTTTCAACGGCATGCACAAGCAAGACACCGTTGTGTGGAACTCTTTAATCCTGGGATATGTGGACAACGGGGAGGAAGCTACAGCACTTGAGTTATTTGCAAGCGTTGCGGAGAATTGCCGGGACTCTCGAACTTACGTTGCGGCACTCAAGGCTTGTTCTTTCCTGGCACTCAAAGAAGAGCCTCGGCAGCAAGATGGCACTGCGGGAAAGGCTTTGGAAAGAGCCATGAGCATCCATCTCGAAGCTGCAAATGCTGGATTTGAGCTCGACGTTTTCTTGGCGACCACGCTGATCGATACGTACGCAAAATGTGGGAGCATGAAGGATTCACGCAGGGTTTACGACAAGCTTCCCGCTCATAATGCGGCACTCTGGACGGCCTTGTTACTCGGCTACGTTGAGAACTGGGAAGAAGCAGCGGTTTTGGATCTGCTAGACACTATGCCAGCTGAAGGAGATGCTCAAACTTTCGTCGCTGCTCTGAAGGCTTGCGCCAATCTAGCGGTGAAAGAAGAGGTTACCAAGGAGGTTGATGGAAGGCTGGTGAAAGCTCGGGCTTTAGAGAAAGGATCGGCTATCCATCGTCAAGCTTCCAAGTGTGAAATGGATTCAGATGTTTTCGTGGCAAACACTCTGGTCGATATGTACGTCAAGTGCTGGAACCTGGTGGATGCTTGGAGAGTTTTCAACGGCATGGAAAACAGGAACGTCGTAGCATGGAACTCGCTTTTACTGGGCTATACGAAAGCCGGGGAGGAAGGGTTGGCTTTGGAACTTATATCGTCCATGCAGTTTTCACCGGACGTGCGAACTTACAGCGCTGGATTGAAAGCGTGCACAGCTTTGGCCGCGAAAGAGACTGGGACACAGGTTGATGGGAAGCTTTATAAGCTCGAGTCACTGGACAAAGCTCTGGCCTTGCATCGCCAGTCGGCGGAGCTTGGCTGTGGCTCGGACGTTTTCTTGGCGAGCAGCCTGATCGAATGCTACGCAAAATGTGGAAGCTTGGTCGATTCTCTTCGAGTCTTCGAGAAAACGCCTCGCTATAACGTTCTCTCGCTCAACGCGTTGATGCTCGGCTATGTTGAGAACGGGGAAGAAAAGATGGCTTTGGAGTTATTAGCCGCCGCCTTGGAAGGTTGTAAGCCGAATGCTCAGACCTTCATCGCTGCTCTCAAGGCCTGCACCGCTCAAGCTGCAAAAGAGGAAGGAAAACCAGTCGATGGGAAGCTTGTCAAAGTCGACAGTTTGGACAAAGGCAAGGCCATTCACTCGGCAGTCGTGGAGAATGGCTATGGCTCCGTGGGAGTGATCACAGGCACGCTTGTCAACATGTACGCGAAGTGCCGGAGCCTCACAGATGCTCGTAAGGTTTTCGACAGCATCGCCGCTTCCGACCGAGACGTGGTGCTGTGGAACACGCTGCTACTCGGCTACGTCGAAAACTGCGAGGAGAAGCTCGCCTTGGAAGCGTTCTCTGCGATGCGAGCTCGAGGTAGCTGTCAACCGGACGCTGGAACTTTCATCCCTGTGCTAAAGGCGTGTGGAAACATGGCCTCCATGGACGCCGCCAGGGAGATCTTTGCCGTGATGGTCAGGTATGGAGCTGAAAACTTCCACACCGTCGCTAACTCTGTTGTGGATGTTCTTGGCAAATGCGGGAGCATGATCCACGCCCAGCTCGTCTTTGACGCTCTTGCGACGAGAGACACCGTGACTTGGAACTGTTTGATCGCGGGATATAGTCACCAAAGTTCCATCGCGATGGTTTTCTCCTCGTTCCATCAAATGCGAGACGAGAACTTGGAGGTAAATGGTGTAACTTTGGTGTCGCTTCTCACGGCTTGCAGCCACGCGGGGCTCTGGGACAAAGCCCGGCGCTACCTCGACGCAATGCCGCGCGTGTATGGAATCCCAGCTGGCATGGAGCACTACCACTGCGTGGTTGACGCGCTCGGGCGGGCCAACCAGCTGGACGCCGCCGTGGCAATGGTCCATACCATGTCACTGCCTCCGACTGCGCTGACGTGGTTTACCATCTTGTCCGCGTGTCAGAAATGGGGTGACGTGGAGCGCGCCAGCTTGGTAATGCGGTCCCTGCTGGTTGCACCCGGCAGCAGTGACGTGGTCGAATCCGCCTACGTGTTATTGGGCAAGTTGACCGGACGGTGACGTGTCAATGGATAAGGTTGACTTGGCGGTGACGTGTCAATGCGCAAAAGATGACATGTGTGCACGTCACTGCCACGTCATCTATCTTTTTCTTGACAAAAATATGCCCTTGCGTCTTTTGTCGCCCTTGATTGAGACCAAAGAATGATGGGTCAGTGATATTCGAGTGGGACGATATATATATTTTCCATTGTATTTGGTGGCATTGTCATCACGTTGGGTGTGGTGGGCGCTACTTACTTGGTGGCCGCGTTGACAAGGTCCGTACACCCGCCAATAAGTGAGACATGAGCAACAACACCCACAAGCAACATCACAGCAACATCACAGCGCAGGGAACAGACAGACAGGGATCTTATTGGTGTCTCTTTTGTCTGTACGGCAATCACATACTTTGCTGCTAATTGCCCAACTAAAAAACCTGCTTATCTCACCTGGTTTGTGTGGCTTTCGGTGCGTGACGTTCGCGGCAGAATCTACAAGGAGCGTTGGGAACCGGGCCACTACTTTGTCGCCCGTACGGCCCCCACGCGCCCCAGCCGGCGGCGGCCATGGCCATCATCCCGGGATATTTCGTACAGGGCCCGTGCCACGCGGGCGCCGACGTGGCGACACGGGGGCTTTGCTCAATCACACGCACAAAGAGGTGTGATAGAGTTGTGTGTTTGCGCGTTCTTGTCCATGGTGTTGACAAGAGGTTATTTTTCTCGACTAAAATCCCTTCCCTGGGTGGGGCATCCACATGAGCACATATGAGATAGAGAGAGAGCCAGAAAATGAGACTATACTACACGGAATCTTCTAAACAAGTGCTTCTGTCCGAAAGATCGTATAAAGCTGCGATTTTTTAAAAGTATGAAATCATCAGCCCGATCATGCACCAAAAAATCTCAGCTAAGCTTCGAGAATATACTACTCTCATACACATCGCTACACCTATGATCCAAACTATGCCATTTAATCAAAAGCTTTGGCGAGCAGTAGCTTTCAGGAGGCTCCTTTGTGGTGTTGACATTGACACCGTTACATAATTGCCACCACCAATACAAAATATTTATATTCTCTATTATTTATATAGTAATAGTATTTATAATGGTAATTAAATTATTGTACACTATGATAACATTAAAATTAGTATAAATAATATTTGGTAATATTAATAAGAACATGGTGGAGAAGAGACAAGCTAGCTATGGAAAGCTTTGTTTTCTATCCATCCATCTTTCAAGCCCTCTCTCCAGTGAAAGTGACAAACATGAAAGAGAAATGGAGTGTGGTTCTTTTGGTCAACAATAGCGACGAATGAAGCGATCAGAAGCAGGAACAGCAGAATTGTACTGCCATTCGTGTCCATCAGTCTCTCTCGCTCGGCACGACAACCGATCCAAGCTCACTTTTTTAGCATTCGATCGAGCCAAAACGAACGAACAAGCCTGTGTTAGTTTAGAACACTAAGAAACACTTAGTTCTCCAGCGAGAGAGGAAGCGAAAGAGTCGCCTTATCAACTAACTAGATGCACGCTTTCCATGGTCTCGATCGAAATTCGTTACTGTTTTTTGGTTTTCTCGAGATGTGGTATTGAGAATTTCGATACAACGATAGCTCGTCAAATTGAATTGAAAGTTTTTTTCTTCTTTTTTTGCTTTCAACACAATAAGTTTTCTCCTGATGATCGGTTGCATATGTGATCGATCACTCCGACTCGTTCCAGGCTGAGAAGTAAGGCATGTGTGCCGGGATTGTGGACCTCATCGCGTGGAGAGTTTGCAGCGGTGATGGCATCAGGGATCCGGTGCTGTAATCTGGCGGCGCCGGAGTATAAAGCTGATCGTCGTGCTGAGCTACGGAGGAACTTGGAACTCCGCCACCTCCACCACCACCATCCGAGGAGCTCGTATCGGCAGCTTCAGGATGATCAGCTTGACAAGAGAACGTGTCGAGTCCAATGAGGTTGCGAAGAACTCCCGGCCCCGCGGCACCAGCATAGTTGTGTTCCTGATTAGCGATAGAGTCTTGAGGAGCGGAAGAAGTTACGAGAGCTCCTCCATCATCACATATCGGTTCGTCAGCTGCTATGGTGACGCTCTGATCGTTCGCTGCGTCGGGAGCTTCCTTGTGCTTGATCCTGGCGGTGTCACCCAGTAGCAAGCTCGGGCTGGAGCAAATCCGCCTCAAGTCGTAGTGACTCATGTCGAAGTTTGTCACCGCGCTTGCACCGCGGAATTTGATGGCTGCGATGTCGTAAGCTTCGGCAGCTTCTTCTTCAGTACCTTTCATCGAAAAAAGGAAAAAATTTACGAACTTGAAAGCTTTCGATCGAAAACTTACTGAAAGTTCCGAGGTACAGATCTTTATTCCCCGCAACTCGTCCGATCCGAGCTTGCCATCTTCCCTGCTGGTGATGCCTGGGAAAAAAGACCGAAGTGAAAAAATATATGAATTGATCATGAGCATTACCTTGTTACACCCCTGAACCTCGATGCGCCTCTCGCGAAGCCACTGCTCTTCCTGTTTTCCAAACACAAAGACACATACAAGCTTTAGAACACCACATATAAACTTTAGAACACCCAAAACTTTAGAACTCGCACAATGCAAAATGGAAAAAGTTTCGCACCTCCTGAGCGCAGCAACAAATGCCTGTCTGCTCATACTCTTCATCTCAGTTAACTTGGAGTGATACTCCACAGCCTTCAACACAACCAGAAAATCTGTGAGCTTGCAAAGAAAGAACTTACGTTGTCACATTAGTTCTTACCGGAAAGTTTGTAGTTGTCGTAGGCCCCCAGTACTTGAGAGCTGCCAGATCGTAAGCTCTTGCTGCCTTCTCCTCCGCATCATACCCCCCTACGCAAAACGCAAGAAAAAAAGAAAAGAAAACCACCAAAAGTTTAGCTCCACAATCGAGAAAAATTCGATAGATTACTCACCTAAGTACACTGGAGGATGGATCAAGTACCATACCAAAAACACCATCCAGATCCAGGGACGGAAAAATCACCCAAGAGAGAAAAAAAACCATGAAAAAAAACTCTCAAAACTTTTAAGCAGTACCTTGTCTTCCTTTCCTCGTTTGTCCTTCCTTTCGGCAAGTATTGTCCCAGAGATGAGCCTCAAAACGCCCAGTCCAGCGATGCCTAGCTTAAACATTTGGATCAGTGTTTCAGTTCCAGCAACTTAGAACTCAAACCGAGGGAACAAAGAGAGAATGTGAAACTATCCCATCTTTCTCGCTCTTTTACCTGGTCACACCCCGAAAGACCGATGTTCGCTGCCCGAAAGTATCGATCGATTTGCGCAAGTTGGGCGCCTTGTTCTTGCCGAGCCTCTTCTTGCTACCGGTGGTCCTTGGAAGATTGATGGCGGTGGTGGTGGCGGACGAGGATGGCGGCGGTGGTAGCTCCTGGTCCTGGAAGGTCACGAGCGGCTGGTGATCGTGGTGGGCGGCGATGGAAGACGAATCGGTGTTGCTCGACTGTGAGCCGGAACTCATGGACAAAGTCAGCGACTGGTGATTGACGATAGCGCTCTGGTGGTGGCTTTGATCCATGGAAGGAAGAGCTGCGTGATGATCGTCGTGGCTATTCTCTTGCGGCTGCCTCAGCAAAGATTTGAGAGTGGACAAATTGGTAGTGCCGTGCTGCTGCTGCTGCTGCTGCTGCGCGCTCGTCTGATCGATCTGGCGGTGAGAATCGCTGAGAAGCGGCGAAGGAGGAGACGAAGAGACTTGTGCTCGCTGCTGTTCTGCGAAGGCACTTACCGGAAGAAGCGTTCTCCTTAATAGCTGAAAGTTGTATGGCGACTGCAGTGAGGCGACCATGGAGTTGGAAATAGCGCCGTATCTTGTGCTGATCATCCCCGGCGAGAGATGGTAGTGGTGATCGACGAAGCCGTGGGGATGCTCCAGGGTACCTTGGCCCATGAAATCGTGGTGCTGCATCTGGATCGGGAGCGCTGGAGAACTGGAACTCTGGAAGGTGTTGTCGCTGCGAATGGAAGAACCCCTCTGGCAATCTTCTACCGGCTGCTGCATTACTCCTCACGGAGACATCGCGAAGATCTCTTGCTCTCCTCTCCTCAAAAACCAAAAACTCTCGTCCTCGCTCACGATCGAAGTAAGAAGAAGAAAAAAAAAAATTAAACGGAGAGATAGAAATGGAAGAAAGCTGCTGTGTGGGTTATCTCCAAACAACAAAAATCGACAGGAAGCCAACAAAAAGTTCTCTCCTCTCACAGTTTTTCTTTTGTCACTGTGGAAGAACTAGACGATATACTGTTCCTCCTGCAACGAGCACACACACGCGAGAACAAAAGGGAGAAAAAAAGAGAAAAAAAATCCAAAAGATTCGAATTTGGATCCGTCCTGATCCACAGAAAGGAAAGAACCGTGGATCCTCGATCCAGCGCCGAGCCCTGCTGCTACAAACTGCACAAGAACACCACACAAGTTAGTCTCGCTCGATTCTACGGCGTGGGCGGTACCTTCTCGCAGGGAAATCAGCAGCGCGAGAGACCCAATGCGACGTGCGATCAACCCATGACCTCCGATTCCTGGCGGGCTTGCGAGATTCTTGGCAAGAACACACAAATGCGAGAAGGATGGAACCGGAAGAACAACGAAGCCAAAAACCGGATTTGGAATGCCGTTCTGTCACTCCTGATGTTGGATTTTGCTGTTAAGCTTGCGGCTTTTGTAGGGGGATTTCCCACCAAAGGGATGAATGCCCACATCGAATCATTGCCTCTCTTTGACTCCATAGCCGCGCGCTACAGTGCTTCTCTTACGCACCGTATTTACGTAACAAGGGCGCTTTACTTAAATTACCATGTGGCAAAGCCTTTCCAGAAATGGTAAAGCACGCATAAACACCCAATGCCCGGGAATACCTACCACACCTTTCGAAAAATAATGTCGAGGCGATTGACCATACGATTGGAATCCGACGGCGCCGCGGGGGACACGCGCTGGCCTGTTGTGCGGGGAATATTCGCACGTGACGTGAGCACACCAGTGTGTACCATGGATTTTTTCAATTTGGAGATCTATGGGGTCCGCCTGGTACCCATTAATGTGGAGGTGACATGACATGTTAATTTTTTTACTATGTAGCCTAGATATTTTCAGACTGTTAGAATTGTACCCTAAAGTGGCCCAGGGCGAAACAGGGGCCAAATCTCTCCGTACTAGATTTTGGGCGAACTGTACGGCACGTTTGAAATTTTGGGGCATTTGTGTTGAGAGCGCCCGCGCTAGCTGCCGAGCTTGACGGGATCGTGCGAGGCAGTGGAAATTCTGAGGTATGGTGTCGCGCTCCATGATTCCTGCGGGCTGTGTGACGGTTTCGCTCGATCGGCGATGTAATGCCGAGATTCTGGATTGATTTGCAGAGGAGAAGGTATGATCTGGAGCTGAGCTCGAATGCTATTATCTGAGGAATGAATGAAAAGAATTCTGCGAGTGTCGAAAAGAATCAAATGGGGAGTAAGTGCTTTAGAGCTCGCTTGCCTTCTTTTCTTTTTTTTTCAAACCATGTTTCAAACTTTTTGAATGGCAATCAGGCCTCCCTACTACCAACATCCAGGACATTCTACGACAATCACAGGGATCCAGAGGAGAAAAAGACAGTGTGTGCGATTCTCGATCCTTCACAGGTAAGAAGGCACTGTACTTGACACTTTTAGATTTGTTTAATTGTGTGTGTGTTGGTAGCAGCACTGCAGCAGCCACGGGAAGAACTGGAGAGCAGGGACTGGAAAACACTTAGCGTTAAGCTTCATACGGTAAAGAGAACTGTTTGGACGTACTGATGCAGTGGGATGATGAACAGGAATTTTTGCGTTTCACGCATCAAGAGAGTAGCGAAACTTTGACATCCAGCTCAAAGCGTGATTTCTTTTTGTCAACGAGCAAAGCTCCTGATCAGCTTCAGAGGTGTGTGAGATGTGGTGTACTCGGTTGTCAGCTTAACCTGAGCTTTCGATTGTGCAGTTTCTATTACAGGAGCTGACCAAACGCTCGGCCTGTGCCCAAACGACAAGTCAATCGATACTGTTGAGCTGTGGTTTTGGCTGTATCTCTCGCGGAAAACTTCTTTGAACACTCGAGGTATCGTGCTGCTATGAACAAAGATTGATGGAAGATGTCGATGGTTTTTCTTCCTATTAGGTGAGCTTGCACAGTACGCTTGGTTGGTTTTTCTTGCTCACGTAAAGTTGCATTTTTGCGAATTCTTACTCTTTTTGTTGGTCTTGGTTCTGACAAGCATTCCATTCTTTTCTAGGGATTCATAGTTCTTTGCTGTTTTGTTCAGGGGTTCCTGATGAACAAACACGTAGTTGTGTGACTGGAGAATCGAGCGTCATCGGCTCTGTGCCTTTGTGACAATCGTCGCTCGTAACTAGACGCTGCTAACAGCTACGCGGCTACAATGTACACGTTTCGAGGCCTGGCGCAAACACTGAGCTACGACATCCGGGTGAGCTTGATCTGTCCTTGATTCGCCGACACGGCACTGCTACACGATGGTAAGCAAAAAGATATTGTCGGGCAAGTAGCTCACTCAAAATATTCCTCCCGTGCTGGGAAGTCCGTGTGCCACTACCATCACAGAGACAGGAGTCCGGCCAGGGCGGTGGAGGCGATCAAAACTTGGTTCTAGTGCTGGAAGCTGCTTGGGCGATCGTCAAACTCCAAGTGATCATCACGGTTCGCAAGTTTTATATTCTTCGGACAATGATTTTCTCGATCCATCCGTGCTTAGGTGGCCAAGCGAAGTGATCCTCGTGGATAAGGTACTTTTACTTGGCTCTAAGCTTACGCTTGGACTTATACCATGCTTTTGACAATAATCCAGGATGCTTTGGACGCTTGCAACTTAAATGTTCCTTGTTCTTTAAGCAGGAATAGATCCAAAAGTTCTTGACAGATCACCGTCTTACCGGCATCTCCTGACAAGTGTCTTTGTGAACGTGGCACGGCAGCACTGATCTAAATCCTTGGGACTAAACTGTAGCGAAGAATTCTCTGTTCTATCGTAGGTGATCGCCAAAATGGGTGGCAAATCCAGCAAAAGCAAGCAAGATGCGGCCGAGAACGCGAATTCGCCACCGCCAGGCGACGAAGATCCCTCCGTCCGCATGGATCCCAACAGCAAACTCAGAGTAAGATCACCAGATAGGCCCATTCCAAAGTATGATCAAGAACCACCGCAGCAAACCGAGGGGGCCTCGGATGATTTCCCAGTGGACGCCGAGGAGGAGCGCGAGCTCGTCGCTGGCGAGGAGGGATTGGTGAAGATTAGTCACTCCCTGGTGCATCTCATCGACAAGGAGCAGAGTGTGCTGTTGGGTTCCGGTACGTTTTCTCTCGTCCGGCTCACGCAAAATGGGAAAGAGGTGGCCGTGTTTGCGCGAGTCGGCAAGAAGTTGCAATGGCCGATTCTCAAGGACGAGGTCGTCACCAAGCTTGATGCTGGGCACTACTTCTTCTCGCTCAGAGTTGATCCAGACGATCACACCGATCGCGACGATGTAAGTGAAAGTTCTTCTCGTTCTTTTCTCTGAATTTTCTCTCCCAGAGCCATAGCGAAAGAGAAAATCCTTCCAAGAAGGAGAGCGTCGAAAACTTGAGCTATGGCGTGACATTCAAGGTGAAAGGCAACGAGGAGAAGCTATCCAAGCTCGATGAGTTGCTCAAGACGTATACTTTCTTCTCCAAGCCCAAGATGATGCAAGGCGACGAAGGGGAGATCCGGGAGAAGCTCGAGGCGGAGGGAATGATCAAGCCGGACGAGATCCAAGGCCAGGTTTTGGTTCCTCCTCCCAGCCTCGCGCAGGACATGAACAAGAGGCCGTCCGAGACGAAGTCGAGATTGTACTGGACCGCCATAGCTCCAAACGTGGAGGATTACAACAGCAGCATTGCGAGAGGAGTGGCAACCGGCACTGGTCACGTAATTCGATCCCTGTTTTGGTGCAGTAACTCCACGGCGGCCCAACTTGAGAAAGGTGGCGAGTATGTCAGGAAACACACCAAAGCAGCTAAGAAGCCCGTGCAACTCAGTCCCACGACGATGCGAAACATCAAAAGGTTGGTTCTTTTCCTTTCACTCTCTCTCTTTCTTAGTTTTCACCAAGGTTGATTTACTGTAGAGTGCGAAGAGTTACACAAATGTCCGAGAGAGTTGCAAGAGGGATCTTGACGGGAATTGTGACTGCAACTGGATATTTCACCAGCGCCGCGGTGACTTCGAAAGTTGGGAAGAAAGTCTTCAAGATGATGCCCGGTGAAGTCGCTCTTGCGTCTCTGGATGCATTCAGTACGTAAATTTTGTTCCATGACCAATCAACTTTACTTTCTCTTATTTTTCTTCCAGGCAAGGTGTTTGATGCAGTGGAAATGGCCACCCAAAACATTCTGTCTACTGGCACACTGATCACAACCGGAGTGGTGGCTCATAAGTGAGTTATCTTGGCTTATTTATTTGTATATTGTTTTTATTATCTTTTTTGTTTCTATTTCTGCCAGATTTGGAGAGCAAGCCGGGGAATTTACTCACGAAGGGCTATCTTCGATTGGGCATGTGTTGTCCACTGCTTGGGTTGTTTCAAAGATCAGAAAGGCCATCAACCCAAAAGAGACTAAGCCTTCAACCAGAAGCATGGTAAAAAATGCGGCTACAAATGCCATAATGAGGAAAAAGTAAGCCATTTATCTCATAAAATCATTGAAATAAATCTTGCATTATTTTGTATAACTCAAGAAATAAAAGAAAAAAAAGGAAACAAAAATCTTTCAACGAATGAGAATCTGCATTTAGGGTTTATTTAAACCTGCTAGAACCCTAAAAACAGAGGACTAGGGTTCTTGGATTTGAAATGGCGGCGGCGTCGGTGGTAGAGGATTGGCCCCCGAAGCGAGACGCGACGGCGCAGCTCGTCGCCACGAATCTCACGTCGCTGGCATTCTTTTGGAAGGCGCCGATCGACGGCGATGCGAAGGAGCTGGGATCCAGGATCGAAGAGTCCGCATTCCAGGTAGCAAGCTCCGGCGATGGCGGGGATCCCGTGGCGGCGGTGAAGATCTATGCTCGAGAGGTGAGCCGGATGATGCTGGAAGCGCTGGGATTCGCGATGGAAGCTCCAGGTACTGTAAAAGATGAACAGTGCTTCGATATTTCGGCCGGGCAGAGAGCTTTCCTCACCAAGGAGCTCGCGGAGGAGCTCTTGTTGCCGCTGGAGACGTCGCGCTACTCCAAGATTTGCTTCAGCAACAAGAGCTTCGGCAGGGACGCTGCTGTGGTCGTGGCGAGGTTTCTGTCGAAGGTGAAATCCTCGCTACAGGACGTGGATTTCTCGGACATTGTTGCTGGGCGGCCAGAGGACGAGGCGCTGGAGGTGATGCGTACACTCGCGCTGGCATTGGAAGGGAGCAAGCTCCGCTCGCTAAACCTCTCGGACAATGCTCTCGGGGAGAAGGGTGTGAGGGCCTTTGCGCCGCTGCTAAAGTCCCAGGAATCCCTCGAGGAGCTCTCCTTCATGAACAATGGGATCTCCAAGGAGGCTGCTCGTGCTATATGCGAGATCGTCACCACTGGGAGCTCTCTCAAGCTCTTGCACTTCCACAACAACATGACCGGCGATCAAGGAGCCAGATCTCTCGCGAAGCTCGTCGAGAAGGCTGTCCAGCTCGAAAACTTCCGCTTCTCGTCGACTAGAGTCGGGGAGGAAGGCGCGGTGGCACTGGCTTCGGCCATCGCTGGTGGATCCAAGCTCAAAGTTCTCGACTTGAGAGACAACATGTATGGTCCTGGAGGTGGTGTTGCGCTTGGGAAGGCTTTGCGGCAACATGGCGGCTTGACGCACGTCTACTTGAGCGATCTAAGCCTGGAGGACGCTGGAAGTACGCCAATTCTCGAGGCGCTGGCAAGCGGGACGCGGAGTATCAAGGTGCTCGAGTTCGGAAACAACGAGATCACGCATTCGTCCGCCAAGGCGCTGGCGGCTTTCATTGCAGCGAACAAGGAGCTGGCCAAGTTGAATCTATCCGAGAACGAGCTGGGTGACAAGGGTGCTGTGATGGTCTCGGCGGCGGTGAAAGCGAGCTGCTCAAAGCTGGAGGAGCTTGATCTGAGCTCCAACTCACTGAGCCGGGTTGGCGCGCTGGCTGCGGCGGAGGCAGTGGCTGGGAAACCAGGATTCAAGCTTCTCGGCATGGATGGCAACCGCATCTCCAGCTTTGGATTGGACGAAGTCCGGAGCGTGCTCAAGAGCGGAGTGGGGATCTCAGGTCTCGGGCCGCTGGAAGACAACGACGACGAAGCAGGCAGCGATGAGGAAGATGGCGACGAGGATGGCGAGGATGGCCTGGAGGAAGAGCTCAAGGGATTGTCACTGAAGTGAGTTATTAGCCAGCAGCGTGCTCGGGCGATCCAGACCATATCTTTTGGGTTTCAATCCTTTGAGCAGGCCTCCCAGGACATTATTCTACGATAATCACACAGGGAAGATTCTGGATCACGAAGGCACTGTACTTTAGGTTGTTTAGCTGTGAAGAACTGGAGAGCAAGGGCTGGAAAACATTCAAGCGTATGAAACTTAGCTCCAGACGGTCAAGAGAACGGTTTGGACGTAACGTAAGCTTAAACCAGCATTCGTCTTTGTAGTTTTCACTGACCAAACGCTTGGGTTCTACACAGACGACAAGCCCACCGACACTCTTGCTGAGCAGGAACAAAGATTTGACGAAGATGTAGATGGTTTTCCGTGTTAGGTGAGCTCGCAAAAAAGTATGCTTGGTTGGTTCCGCATGTTTTTGTTGCTCACGTAAAGACTATTGCATCGTCGCTGCCGCTAAATCCGTTTCTTCCTCCTTTTTCTTGGTTGAAGAGAATTTCAAGCAATCCAATCCAAATGCTATTTCTTGTCGTGGGAATCATACTCCTTGCTGCCTTGTGCAGGAGGAAGACGAAGGTGATGGAGTCTCTGATGAACAAGCACGTATTTGTGACTGGAGGATCGAGCGGCATCGGCTATGAAATCGCCAAACGGGCCCTCATCCAGGGTGCGTTTGTGACAATCGTCGCTCGCAACAAGGCGAGGCTGGCCGCTGCCAAGGAGTCGCTTCTCAAAGAATGCGTTTGCAGCCCCTCGCAAATCGTAGCGGAGGTAAGACTTTTGTTGACAAGCGTCTTGAAACTTTGGTTGTCTCCAGGAACTGGACGTGGGAGATTTTGCCGCAACCAAGCGAGTGATCGAGCAGGCATCGAGGTGGAGGCCGATCGACGTTCTCGTGTGCAACGCCGGCCTGGTGAGATCTGGACTCTTTGGGGAATGCCGAGCCGAGGACATAGATCAAGTGGTGAGAACAAATCTCCTGGGCTGCGCGTACTCGGTTCATGCCGCTCTTCCACACATGAAGCAGGAGCAGAACAAGAGCAGCCATGGAAAATCCATCGTGCTCATCGGATCACTGGCTGGAATGGTGACCAAAATCATCTTTTTCTTTCTTTTGGGTCATGAAACTTACGTGCGTTTCAACAGTACACGCTCTACGGTGCGAACATCTACGCGGCTACCAAGTACGCGCTGCGAGGCCTGGCGGAAACGCTGCGACTGGAGCTGCTGCCTCACAACATCCGGGTGAGCTTGATCTGTCCGGGATTCACCGACACGGCACTGCTCGGCGATGGTGAGCACACAAAGATCTTGTCGGGAAAGTAGCTGACTTGAGTGCTCGCTCATGGCAGCGACCACTGATCAACAGGTTCTCGAGACGCTTAAATCCGTGTGCCACTACGATCCCAGAGACACGGAGTCCCCGGCGGACGTGGCGGCCAGGACGGTGGAGGCGATCAAAGCGGGCGAGTACATCGTCGCCACCAGGAGAGTTGGCGGTGTCCTTGTGATGCTGTCCAGAGGCTTGCTTCCTTCCGAATCGATCGTCACCACCTTGCTCGAGTGCGTGTTCTTCGTCCCGGTCAGGCTCTTGAGCGTTCTAGTGCTGCTCAACGTCAGGAGGCTGCTTGGGCGATCGTCAAACTCCAAGTGATCAACCATCGGGGTAACCTCTCTCTTTCTCAAGTTTTGTGACAATGTCCTTCTCGATCCATCCATACTTAGATGGATACCATATAATCCATATACGCAAATGTTCCATTTCTTCAGTTTTTTTCACTAGAGATGAAACTTTGAGCTATGGTGTGACATGGCTTAGAAAGTCCTTGTGAATGGGCGAAAGTCCTTCCAACCATTACGAATGGGCCAAACTCCTCCGCTCGTGCAAGACCATCGCGGCAGTCACAAGCGCACACTCTCGTCTCCTCCACCACCATCGCAACAAAAACGATGTCTACCTTTCCAATTTACTACTCCACGCCTACGCTCGCTGCGGCGCAATCCACCACGCTCGCCACATCTTCGACACCACCGCCACCAAAAACTTCTTCACCTGGGCGCTCATGCTCTCCGCCTACGCTCACCACGGCCAACTCCAAAACGCCACCCAGATCTTCCACTCCATGCCCGATCACGACATTATCTCCTGGACAACTATAGCCGGTGCATATGCCCACGCCGGGCATCTGGATCAAGCACAGTCTATCTTTGATCAGATGCCCGCCTGGGACACGGCGTCTTGGAACTCGCTCCTCCATGCACACGCCGCTATTGGGCAGATATCCGGCGCTCTACTTGTGTTTGATCGGATGCCTTGGAGGAACATTGTGTCTTGGAACACCATGCTGGCTGCATATGCCCAAGCCGGGCATGTCGAGAAGGCCATGCACCTCTTCGATCTCATGCCGCTCCGGGACCTCGTCTCCTGGACAACTCTGTTAGCGATCTTGCTCCAGAGGGACGAGATCGACTTGCCTGCCATGGAAGCTCTGTGCCTGATGATGCCCGAGTGGGACGCTGTCGCAAAGAATGCGGTGCTCTCTTCCCTTGCCCAGAGTGGTCGACTGGAGAGAGCTAGGGAGGAGTTCTCATCGATGAAAGAGACTAGCTTGATCACGTACAACATCATTTTGTCTGGGCTCCTCCAGCTCTCGGACTTCGACGCTGCTCTCACCTTTTTCACCACCGAGATGCCGGAACACAATCTCTTCTCCTGGAACACCCTCTTGGCGTCATATGCCCAGGCCGGGGACGCCGAGAGAGCCATCATGGTGTCAAGCTCGATGAGAGAGCAGGACATCGTCTCCTGGAACTCACTTCTCCACGCTCTCGCTCAGTCTGCTCGTGTCGAGGAGGCCAAGCAGGTCTTTGACGAGATGCCGCACAGAAACATTGCTTCATGGACGTCTCTTCTCGTTGCTTATGCCCAGCACGGGGATATCGACCAGTCTGCGGCAATCTTCGCCTCCATACCTAAGCTCGACCTGGTATCTTGGACTGCGATGCTTGTCGCCTATGCCCAGCACGGCCTCCTCGTCGAGACAAAGCTTGTCTTCTACCAGATGCCCGAGTGGAACCAAGTCTCCTGGAATGCGCTTCTCTCAGCTCACGCTCACCACACCTCACAGCTCGCAGTGTCACACAAGATCTTCAACACAATGCCATCACTAGATCTCATGTCCTGGAGCTCGATGTTGGGAGCTTATGCCCAGGTCGGGCAAGCCAACTCGGTGCTCGATTTGTTTCACTCGATGGCTGCCACTGCCGAGAGAGTTGATGAGATTTGCTTTATCCGGATTCTTCATGCATGTAACCACAGTGGGGGCCTCTACGCTGGAAGGAAGTGCTTCACGTCTTTAAGCCTGGATTATGGAGTGCCTCCCACCAAGCCTCATTTCTGCTGCATGGTCGATATCCTGGGACGATCAGGCAGGCTGGGAGATGCCGAAGACTTGATCAATGCCATGCCATTTGTGGCTGATTCACTTGAGTGGACTTGCCTGCTAGTGGCATGTAGAAACCATAGGGATGCTGCTAGGATGCATGTGTAGCTTGGATAAACGAGTTTTTATTTCTGGCTTCCTTGTACAATGGTGCTAATATTTTCTCCTCTTTTTTTTGTTTTTCTAGACTGGTTTAGATAACTTCCAGAAGGCAAATTAAACTAGAAATAAATGAAATATATAATTTGCTAGTGTTCCTGTGTGAATGTTTCTCACATGATGCCAATATTTTAGTACCTATTCAAGCTAAATAAATCTCGAAACTTCAAAAGGGTGATCTGATGAGATAATTTTGAGCCTTAGAATGTAAATTACTTGATCCTTCAAAAGTTACCACCACTACAAACTATCCATCATTAAGAAGGTTTTTATTTCGAATGTTTAATTGTCCAATAACACACACTTTGCAAAAGTAACACTTGGAAAATGTTATCCTAATCCCATTTTCAACCACTGTCATCTTCTCCTTGAAATCATCAATTTTATTTACATCTTTTTAGAACTTGATATAAAGCTTAGCCATTGCTCTTTAATCTATCACCATATCTCCTCATAGAAATATGGGTATGAAAAACTAAAGAAGCAAAAACAAGAAGTGAGGGAGGAATATAGAGAAAGAGTAAATGTAGTCTTAGAACAACAAGTTGATCATTATTTTAGTTACTAGTTAGAACTTTCCAAATGAAAACCAAGAATATCAAAAGAGGATGTGAAGTTATTACTTGATATTCAAAGTTTCCACTCTTGAAGTAATTATTGACCATTTGGTCCAATCATGTGTCTTAGAATTACTTATCTCATATATATACTTCAACTAAACACCACCAACAATACCATCTTTTGAAAAACTCGTTAGTTGAGAAACTTTACCACCACTACCATTAGTAGCCTTTAAAGCTTTTTAACTAATGCTGACAACCACTTGTATTCCACCATTTATATTCTAGCAACTTCATGATGATCAGAGAACAAATAGAGTTATAAACAGAGAAATTAAGTAAATTAAATCGTTAATCCAATTTTTTTTTAATTTCTATTTTAAAACTTTTTTGCTTTTTTTCTTTCTTTAGTTTTTTTAAAAATTATTTCATTAGTTTTTTTTTTTAGATTGGTTGAGATAACTTCTAGAAAGCCAATTGAATTGGAAATAAATCAAGTGTATAGTTTGCTAGTGCTTGCAAGAATGCCTCTTATACGAGAGTGAAAAATTATACTTATTATAATTAATATCATGTAAAAAGGAAATCTAGAAGCATTACATGAAGAGCTAAAATACCTGACCCCTCTTATGATTAAAGATCCTCACTACATGGTATTTAATGTGAGAATTCCAATGCCAAAAGATATAATATCAATTATCACCATTCTACTGCTTATATAGTAATTGCTACAACCTGTATAAGTGCTCTTGCTATATGGAGTTAAGTGTGATTATAAATTATGGCTACCATGCTTTATAAACTATTTATGTGTTAAACTCCATACCTATTAAATATGGTAAAATTAGACAATGTATTATAGTACTTAGTCAAATTGACATAAATCTTTAAACTTAGGCAGTGTAATTTGATGAGAAAATCCTAATCCCTAGAATATAAATCACCTAATCTCTCGAAAGTTGCAGGTTAAAAACCACCACTGGTAGCTATAGAAGATTCTTATTTAGAATGTTTGACTGTTTAATAACATGAATAAAAGTATATAGTATCGAGATGTTTTATGTGTTATAGTCGTT